TGGAGGCACCACGACTGGGGGTGCGGGTACACCTCCTACAGGTGCTGGTCGTGCTGCCGCGGGAGGTACTCGCTCTGGGGGTGCTCAGCCGGGTACTGTCGAGGACGGAGGAGGTTCTTCTGCTGCGTCTCCTGACACCACTCCTCCTCCTCACCCCTACCCGACTCGTTACCAGGCCCTTCTTCGTCTAGAGCGTGAGGAGCAGCAGCGTTTGGAGCGTGAGAGGTCGGAGGTCCAGCAGCGTTTGGAGCGTGAGAGGTCATGGGTCCAGCAGCGTTTGGAGCGTGAGAGGTTGGAGTTGCAGCAGCAGCAGCAGCAGCAGCAGCAGCAGCAGCAGCAGCAGCAACAACAACAACAACCACAGCAGCCGGAGCAGCCTCCGGCCCCTGTTTCTGGCCTTCGGGCCCTTGGTCTCCCCTCCTCTCGTCCTGTGTTCGGTCCTACGTTTCCTCCTCCGGACTCAGCTCCGGCTGTGTTCCCTCGTTCTCAGTCTCCTCCGTCTCCCCCTCCTCTCACCCACACTTGGACCTCTCGTCCTCCTCGTGCTCGTCCCTCGTCACCTGTCACTGACCTCCGTACCGTGTTGTTTCGTTCTAGTCCTCCTCGTCCTCCTCAGTCTGTTCTTCCTCGTCCTCCTGAGTCGTCCCTCACTGCCTCCCTGTCCACTCCGGTCTCTGACTACTACCGCACGTACCGCCCCACTCTCTCTCGTGTTCTCGCCTCTCTTGTTACAGACCCTCGTGCCTCTCCTTCCTCTGTCGCAGTCCTCACTGCCGCTGTCACTGACTTTACTGCTACGCGTCGCCTTGACTACGCCACTCGTGTTGTGGCCGCTCCTCCTGTCCGTCCTCTGTCCGCCGGGGGTGAGTCTGCCCTTGGCTGTGACGTCCTAGAGGACAGACAGTTTGAGCTAGAGTTCCTGGCAGCTGCTTCGCCTCATCTCTGTGCCATGCTCCTCGCTCCTGAGGGAGACCCCGACGCTCCTGACGTTCCTACTACTCGCACTTACGCTGAGGCAGTGTCAGGGCCTTGGGCCTCTCAGTGGAGAGCTGCCATGGACGCAGAGATGGCCTCCTACAGGTCCACAGGCACTTACGTTGACGAGGTTCCCCCCCCAGGGGCGAACATAGTTGACGGCATGTGGATCTTCAAGGTGAAGCGGTCGCCGGGATCTCCCCCAGTCTTCAAGGCACGCTACGTGGCTAGAGGGTTCAGTCAGCGCGAGGGGGTTGACTTCTTTCAGACCTTCGCGCCCACCCCGAAGATGACCACTCTTCGGGTGTTACTTCACGTAGCGGCACAGAGGGACTACGAGCTACACTCCCTCGACTTCTCCACCGCCTTCCTGCAGGGCAGCCTACACGAGGAGATCTGGCTGCGTCGTCCTCCGGGCTTCACTGGCACCTTCCCGCCTGGGACCCAGTGGAGCCTCAGACGACCAATCTACGGTCTCCGCCAGGCACCCCGTGAGTGGCACGACACTCTCCGCTCTACTCTCTCCGACCTCGGGTTTGAGCCGTCTTCCGCCGACCCGTCGCTGTTTGTTCGTCGTGGGCGCACACCTTTTTACGTTCTGGTCTACGTTGACGACTTGGTTTTTGCCACAGCCGACACAGTTGCACTGGCGGAGGTGAAGTCCGAACTGCAGAAGAGACACATCTGCACTGACCTTGGGGAACTGCGCCGCTACCTTGGCCTGCAGATCTCCAGGGACAGAGCCGCTCGCACCATCACTCTGACTTAGTCACACATGGTGCAGCAGGTCCTTCAGCGGTTCGGGCTTCAACACTCAACTCCTGCACCCACCCCTCTTGCTGTAGACCACAGACTCACTGGGCCTTTTCCTGACGAGCCGTTCGAGCCCAGTGGTCCCTACGCAGAGCTGGTGGGCTGCCTCATGTACCTGATGACGTGTACTCGCCCGGACCTCGCCTTCCCCCTTAGCATCCTTTCTCGCTTTGTTGCGACTGGGAGACACCGTCCTGTTCACTGGGCGGCGGCTAAGAGGGTGGCGAAGTACCTCGGCGCGACATCAGACATGGGGCTTGTACTTGGAGGGACACAGCCAGTTGTACTCACCGGTCACTGCGACTCCTCCTACGCCGACGACGTTGAGACTCAGAGGTCTACACAGGGTTACTGTTTCAGTCTGGGCTCTGGAGCTGTTTCGTGGAGGTCTACTCGGTCCTCCTCTGTTGCGACTTCTACCGCAGAGGCCGAGATCTACGCTGGAGCCCTTGCTGCACAGGAGCTACGCTGGTTGACCTTCTTGCTCACTGACCTTGGTGAGCGGCCGAGCTCTGCACCGACCTTGTTTGCTGACAACAAGGCGATGATTCTCCTGTGTCGTGAGCCTCGACTGGAGAGCAGAGTGAAGCACATCGACGTCAGGTACTTCCTCCTTCGAGAGTTGCAGAGACGCGGTCAGGCGCGTCTGGACTTCGTGGCCTCCGAGGCCAACACTGCAGACATCTTCACCAAGGCTCTTCAGCCTTGTGACCACCGCCGGTTTTGTCTGCAGTTAGGCCTTGTTGAGACTGGGTCTAGTAGATTGCAGGAGTGATTACTTGCTTCTCTTGTGTGTGTACCATATATATAGTAGCTTATACACTCTTGAACTGGCCTTGTGGCCCCTTGTTTGTGCTCAGACTGCGTGGTGACGTTGTGATCCACCCTGAGCTTTGTTTCCTCCCTTGTTTGCGACTGGTCTTGTGACCTTAGGTTGTGTTTTTTGTTGCTTGGCATTCCCCACTTAGGCTATGGGGGTGTGTCAAATATTATAGCCTCTAGTGGGTTGTTAATGCATATGAATGTTTAGTTAGGTTAGGCTATATGCGGGTTAGTACTAGGGGGTGTCAGAAAGACTAGGCAAGAAAGATTGAAAGGAGAGGATTCACTAGCAGCAGTTGGGGTACATATAGCAAACCCTAACTGGGTTGTACTCGCTATAGAGCACCCCACTACAGGCTAGACAATAATAACATTCTGACACACCCCCATAGCCAAAGTGGGGTGTAATCAGTACAATGAGCAGGCATAGCAATAGTTCACAATTATAAGCAAAGCTAGAGGTGATCATAGAGGGCAAGTGAGGAGGAGGAGAGACTGTGAGGGCGAGAAGATGAAAGGCGCCGACTGAAGCTGCAGACACACGGGCAACAGGAGCGGCGCGCACAGTGGCTACCGAGCGCACGAGGGCACCGGACTACGGGAGTATCTGGCTCCGCGGCTACGACGAGCACACACAGGAGCAACGGACCCACAGGCGACTGGCGAAGCAGGCTCGCTGGGCTACCGAAACGCGCGAGGGCATCCGGACTACTGGCGCTGCTGGCGTCACGACGGCTACCTCCACGCAACCTCCCCCGACCGTCCCACGCCCCTCTCACACACCCCCTGCTGAAACCCTAGCTCCACATCCACGGCACCCCCCTTAAACCCTAAACCCTCGGCTCCCACACACCCACCCCCCTCAGCGGCAGCTGCAGCAGTGGGAGACGGAGGAGGAGGAGGAGCCGCAGGTTACCCACACCGGTCACCCCCATGCCCGCCACCCCCAAACCCTAACGCAGGCAGGAGCACGGGAAACAGCAGGGGCGGGGCACGGAGGGAAAGGGAGGCGGCGGGGTGGCTCTTGGGCGCCACGAAGAAGCAGGGCGCGGGCCCCCCGAGGGCGCCACGGCGGGTGACGGGAGGGGGGCCGCGCACGGGCCCCCGAGGGCGGCTCGACGGCCGACGGAAGGGGCCGCGCGCGGGCCCCCTAGGCGCCGCGACGAGGCGACGGGAGGGGGCGGCGCGCGGGCCCCCAAGGTGCCGCGACGAGGCGACGGGAGGGGGGGGACGCGCGGGCCCCCAGGGCGCCGCGACGAGGCGACGGGAGGAGGACGACGGGGGGCAGCGCGCAGGTCCCCGGGGGCGCCACGACGGGCAGGAAACCGCCGCGCGCCTCGGGGCGCACGGCGGGCAGAAAACCGCCGTACGCCCTGAGCGCACGGCAGGAAGAAGACGGCGCGCGCCCGAGGCGTGCGAGAAGCAGAATAGCAGCGGAAGCAGTTAGGTGGCGGGCCCACCCACAGGATCGACCCAAGGGGGTCGACCTGCTCTGATACCATGTCAAAATCCTAGACTAGGCAAGAAAGATTGAAAGGAGAGGATTCACTAGCAGCAGTTGGGGTACATATAGCAAACCCTAACTGGGTTGTACTCGCTATAGAGCACCCCACTACAGGCTAGACAATAATAACATTCTGACAAGGGGTACAGAAATTCTCTCGACATTCTCTCTTGTACCCCCCCCTTGACCTAATCATACCATCCATGCCTAAGTCTAAGAGTTTCGTGGTACATTGATTTTTTGTGACGCGAGATTGACAATTTTTTTCGACGCGACTCGGGAAAACGGGGATTGAGACAATAAGAGCGTGTTCCTACGGGCCCTTGTCAGGCCTTCCTCGTATCAGATTTGGTCAAACTCGATAGTTTCGTTATAAGAAACGAATTTCAGACTTGTATTGCGCGAAATGAATTCGTGCGCGCGAAACCTTTCAATCGTGCCACATCAGCAATCCTCACCGAGGACCTGCGCTGAACATGTGCAAACACAGGCCAATTTTGTCGAGAGTGTGGCTACAGTTTTTCAGCGGGCCGAATTTGTACAGTATCACCAACAAAAAGTTCACGATTCGATGGGATGAAACATTGTAATTCGGTTCCTGGCGTTTCTTCTCAAACTGAGCTCCCTTGCCCAGATGTTCGGGCAGTACAGGAAAGCTGTTCGCGATCCACGTGGCAATTCACCCACGCTAGTATTTTTCACCCAAGTTGCAAGACTACAAAAGTGTCCAACACGAATTCGCCTTACACTGAGAAATACGTGATTGAGGCGAGTCTGACTAGAGGTGGTCTGATAGGGGCCCCGTAGGAACACGCTCTAAATGTCGACACAGGAATGTACTCTTAGAAGCACAAGATACAGTCTAAGTGCTCTAGTGAACATCGTATCACGCCTTGAGTGCCTTCGCGTGGTGCTTGATATGGTCGCCAATAAACGAAGCAATGAAGAAGTACGAGTGGTCGTAGCCTCCCTGGAAGCGCAGCGTCAGCGGCACCCCTGCCTCGGTGCATGCCTTCTGGAAATTCTCCGGCAGCAGCTGCTTCTCGTGGTAGAACTTGTCGCTGTCACCCTGCACGGAACGTGAGGAAATGGAGGTGAGGGGAAAGGAAAGAGAGGCATGGCCACCCAATTCTCTGGGAGCAACTGCTTCTCGTGGTAGAACTTGTCACTGTCGCCCTGCAGAGAGTGAAAAGCAAGGGAGGACTTGAGGGGATAAGGAGAGCAGCAACGCCTTTGATCACACCTTCTCCAGCAGCAGCTGCTTCTCGTGATAGAACTTATCGCTGTCGCCCAATTCTCCGCCAGCAGCTGCATCTCGTGGTAGAACCTGTCACTGTCACCCTACACAGAAAGTGAGAAAATGGAGGTTGTGGGGAAAGGAAAGAGAAGGAAAGGGAGGCATGGCCTGGCCACCCAATTCTCTGGCAGAAGCTGCTTTTCGTGGTACAACTTGTCGCTGTCACCCTGCAGATGTGGACATAAAACAAAAGGAGAAAAATTAAGGAAGAAGGGTTGAGATCGATGGATAAGGCGGTGCCTTATGGTGCCCCAGAGTCTGCCTTCTGGAGACTCTCTGGCAGCAGCAGCTTCTCGTGGTAGAACCTGTCACTGTCGCCCTGCACATTTGGGCAGGAAACAAAAGAAGAGTAGAGGGATGGATAAGGCGGCACCTTATGGTGCCCCAGAGTCTGCCTTCTGGAGAATCCCCCGAAGCAGCTGCTTCCGTGGTAGAAGTTGTCTCTGTCGCTCTGCAGGGAGTGACACAGCAAGAAAAGGGCCAGTGGAGAGAAGCAATGCCTTCAGTCGCATCAGAGAACGCCTGCTCTAACAGCAGCTGTTTCTCGTTGATGTCCACCTCATGCTTTGGTTGTGTGCAATGGGTACAAGATATAAAGACTGGGTCCTGTACGTGCCTACCTTGCCCATGGGAATGTCGAGCTTGCACCCCGGGTACTAGAAGAAAACTACTTGAAAGCTTTGGGCTGTGGTTTGTGCCTACCTGGTCCACCTTGGGCCCTGGACAGGCACTACGAGGAGTACGGGGAAACCACTTAACAACTCTGCTCTGTGAGTGCCTACCTGGTCGATAAGATTGTGGACCTCGGGCCCTGGGTACTGCTTCACGAGTGCCGTGCCAAGTCTACTTGACACGAGGCGACTTCTGAGTCGGATCAAAAGTCACCTTGTAGTTCGCATTTCATCAACTCACATACATGGTCGATAAGGATGTCGACCTTGGGCCCTGGGTACTGCTTCACGAGTGCTGTGCCCAGTCTACTTGAAGACAACACTTAAAGACTTTGCTCCATACAGCCTACCTGGTCAATAAGAATGTCGACCTTGGGCCCTGGATACTGCTTCACGAGCGCTGTAGCGTCATACTCCTGAGAGGGGCAGGTGTGCAGGGAAAGGGGGGTATATGAGGGGAGTAGATGAGGGGACGAGGGAGGGAGAGAGCGAGTGCATGTGCAAGCCCTGGGTACTGCTTCACAAGTGCTGTGGCGTCATACTCCTGTAAGGGGCGAGCTGGAGAAAAGGCGTGGAGGAAACAAAGAGGGAGAGGCAAGGAGAGCGGCAGAGAGGCAGTGAGAGGTGGTGAGTTGAATGAGAGAGCCCTGGGTACTGCTTCACGAGCGCTGTAGCGTCATACTCCTGAGAAGGGAGTGCATGCAGGTAAGGGGCGAAGATGAGGGGACGAGGGAAACGGAGAAAGCGCCTGAGTTGACAGAGGAAACTCCAGATGCTAGTTTAAGGAATGTGCAACGACATTGTTCCGAGAAGAGACACGCAGGGGACGGGATGAGCAAAGGAAGGGGAAAGGGATTGGCGCGAAAGGCATGCAAGACCCAAGAAGAATGGATGAGGGACGGTGTCTTGACTTATCTCCCACTGACTCTACTCCTACGCGACTTCACTCTCCTCCCAACTGGCTTGGCTCACCTCCCAACCTGCGATTCTCTATCATATCCCGACTACCCATTTTCTCCCAACCCAACCCAACCCCACTCAACCCAGCCCAGCCCAGCCCAGCCCAGCCCAGCCCAGCCCAGCCCAGCCCAGACCAGCACAACCCAACCCAACCAAACTGACTCACCTCCCAGGCTGCTCTGTCCTCGCCAAATTACCCAGAGAAGGTAATATTTCAGACGACTAAAAAACCACCCATCTCAACCGCGCCCAACGCATATTCAACCCATTGGACTCACCTCCCAAGCTGCCTTGTCTTCTCCCAAGTACCCCGAGAAGGCCTTTTGCCCCCAGGGGCACTCCGTGGGGTTGCAGATGGGGGCGAAGGCGGACACAGACTGGCGAGGGGAAGAGGGGAGCGGGGAAAGGTGGGAATCTAGGGATTTCAGGCGGAGGGTGGGGAGAGGGCAATGAGAGAAGACCGTCTGTTCCCCCAGGGGCACTCCGTGGGGTTGCAGATGGGCGCAAAGGCGGACACAGACTGGCGGGGGAGGGAGTTGGGGGGAAACGAGGTGAGGAGGAAGGTGAGGAGAAGGAAACGAGACGCGTTTGAGAAGTCTCAAAATTGACAGGGCAAACAGGGCAAGCAAATGTTGCATTCAAGGAGGAAGGTGGGAAGAGGGCAGTGAGTGAAGGCTTTCCAGACGGAATTTCCACGGATAACAAGCGGCCCATGTCCCCCTATAAAGTGACCCGCTAAGCTGCATTGCTGGATCCGAATCCTCTTTACTAAATAACTTAACCAGGAACCCTCACCTTATACTTGGTGGAATTCCTGAAAAAGATAATCAGCGCCCCGTGTCCCCCCATAGAGTGACCCATTAAGCTGCACCGCTGCATGTCCAGATTAGTGTAGTGAGCAGATAGAATCCGGTGCAGCTCCTCAGTGACATAGTCGTACATCTGCCAGTTCTTCCACTTGGGCACCGTGGCGTTTACATAAAAGCCGGCACCCACGCCGAAATCCCAGTTGTCCGATTCTCCCTCCACCTTCAACCCGCCTGCACAGGAGAGGAAGAACGGAAGAAGACGGCAAAAAAGATAGTCGCAGCACCGGTAAGGGACGAGAATCTTGGTGTATCAAGATTATTCAAATGTAACATCTCTCATTCACATTGAGTTGTATTGATTGGTTTAGAAAAGTGTGTACTCTCTGATTCGTGACAGTTTCAGGAGAAGAAGGTGAGAGACAGCTTACGGGGCGAGGAGCCGGGAAAATGAGCGCGACCCGTGCTCTTAGGTGGGTTTTGAGTCGACTCAAAACACGAGGGAGGAAGGGAGAAGAGGACGGGGGAGAAGGGGAGGGGGGGAGGAGGGTGTGTGTGGTGGGGGGAGCTCACGGGGCGAGGTGTCGGGGACAATGAGGGCGACCCCGCATTTTGAGGCAGGCTTGCCCGCATTGCAAGGCAGATTAAAGGGGGAGGAAAGGGAGGCAGCTTACGGGGCGAGGTGTCCGGGACAATGAGCGCGACCCCATGCTCTGACGCGTATTTCTGTGCGAACGACTTTTGAATGAAGTTCTCGTCCGTGCAAGTGAGACCCGAGAGCCAGTAGATCACCTGCGAGGGGGGAGAAAGAGGTAAGAAGAAGGGAGAGAACAGGGTGGGGGAGTGGGGAAGTGGGAACAGGCGCCTCAGTTCTCGTCCGTGCAGGTGAGACCCGAGAGCCAGTAGATCACCTGCCAGGGGAGGGGTGGGAGAGGGAGATGGAGGAAGGGGTAAGGTAAGGGAAGGAGCAGACGCCTCAAGGCACAACCCCGTGTTCAACGAATTATAATTTAAGTCCTTGTCCGTGCAGGTGAGGCCTGACAGCCAGTAGATCACCTGCGAGAGGGGGAGGAAGAGGTAAGGGGAAGGGAGAGAACAGGGTGGAGAAGTGGGGAAGAAAGAACAGGCGTCTCAACTCTCGTCCGTGCAGGTGAGTCCTGACAGATCACCATGAACAGAAGAAAGCGAGTCGAACTCACCGGGACGCGCGAGGAAGTGGCGGCGGGCGGGAAGTAGATGGAGAATTTCATGGTGCACCCGAGCGTCGCGCTCTCGTGCTCGTAGCGCTTGTTCACGCCGCCGAACATCTTATTGGACGAGATCTCCTTGGGCGCCGCCATTCCGAACGCCGCAGCTGCCGCGAAGCTTCGCGTGCACACGGAGACGACGGCTTGAGACGCGGGACCGCTTTGCGTAGGAGAGCACCGCGAGTCGTGTCGAGCTTCAAAAGAAACGCAAGGGCTCAGAGAATGGACGGTTCGATTCGAATCGCGAAACTGACGGACGACTCTGGTAACGGCGGTGGGGCTTTCGCTAAGCGGCAACGAGGCGGCTGGTGTTGGACAAAGTGCGGGCGACGCGCCAGATGAAGGACCACACGAAAAGGGGATGAAACCCACACTAGCGGCTAGAGCGCAGGATTGGTGGAGTCTGGAAAAGCTAGTATCGGCGGGGGAGGCGCGGAAGAGGGATCGAATCCCCGGAGCTATCCGCTGGATGCGGGCTGCAGACATTCAAACGGCCGGCTCAGGTGGAGTGAGATAGGAATGAGGTCGTTGATGTATGGAAATAGAGTAGCGGAGGTCGGCGGTACGGCACGCCAAGCAGAATGAATGACAGATAGAGTTGAGAGGTGCATGGAGATTGGGATGGGATTATGGGAGAAAGATGCGTAGGTTCTGAATCCCATGGGTTGGAATCTCCTAGAATCAGGATTTGCGATGCATGCTTGGGTCGTATGCTTCGTCTCAATGTCTGAGAAAGAGTCTCGAAACGTAATGTTTGTCTTTCTAAGCAAAGTTAAAGAATCAATTGTAATCAGGTCAAAATTCCGAAACCGTGACTCCTCTGGTGACACCGTCCACAACACGAATTATTTTGAACGCGCCCCAGACCAGAGCAGTCTGGCTTGATTCGGGCTTGGAAAGCAATGAATCGCAGAGCGCCGTCTTGTCAGCTCCCCATTGATTGGGCACTCTGACTGAGGTTGTTTTGCGATTGGCGAAATATGTTACTGCGATTTGGGAACGGTCATTGAGCGATGATGAGCCTTGTCGCTCGCGACTGTTAATCCGCTCCGCCAAACGTCCCTTCGCTCCAAGCCTACCTGTGCGCGTGCGTGCGCCATATCCCCTCTCCCCCTTGGCTTATCCGTAGATTTCAAGGCTGTGCACGCTGGAGTTTGCGCGGCAACATCAAATGTGTTGCTGCCCGAGTATCAGGTCTGCTGGACTGATGGTTGAGTGAATTTGAGTACGGTGTTTAACGTTACAGCATTTAGTTCTGGTGGTTTGTAGTGGTACAAAGAAGTATGTTTCGGGTAAAACGTATGTTTTCATATGACATACTCTGCATCTGATGAGAAGTTAGAAGCTCCAGAAAGCCGCTTATCACCTTGTTCGGTGCCTGCTGTGTGGATAGCAGCTGGTTCACTGCCTGAGATATTCTTATCTATTACCCGGCGACGCTGGCCATTCACTTTCCTGTCATTCCAGCTCACTGTCCGTCACTCACCTACCGCTATTTCGACACGCTCTCATTCGCTCGCTGCGTAGCGAAAGCGTCGTCACGGTCTGACTGAGACTCTTAGTCGCCATGGCGGACGGAGGCTGGGGCGTGCGACGCCGACTGGCTATCTGGGAGAGCCGAGCAGACTCGTTCCACGATAAATCGAGGTACATTAAAGCCCGCGTCTCATATTTCCGCCCAAACGACCAAGAGTAATACGGGCGAACAAGTAGGACCTCGTTAGGACGAACCGCGAACGACGAGCCGTTGACGAAATGTTAAGGACGAACCGATACGGGCGAACAACGCATTGTCATTTATTATGAGCGAATACTCTCAGCCTGATGGTCGTCTGTGTAATGCTTTTCTTAGTAACCTCCCGCTTTCGCTCTTTCCACTGACACCTCGCTTTCCATTTCCCAGCGCCGATCCTGTACGAACCTCCACGTCAGGTTCGGGAGCTCCCTGCGGCGCGCCAGCGCAGTATGGCGCGTCGCCAGCCGTCGGATCAACGGCGGCGGCGAACGGAGGGCGGAGATGGGAGCAGTGGGATCGGACGTACGACAACGTGCATTTCTCCACTCCGCGGGATGGCCAGTTTGGTGGGCCCGGCGCGTCGTCTAGCTATGTGGTAAGTATCGCCTAATGCTGTGTATAGGGAATGACACGGTTGTAGTGTAGTTTTTGTACTGTTTTGGTCAGTGCTTATGGTAGAACAGAGTCCAACTAGCGATTCCAGATGGCCAGTCTATCAGCTCTCTAAAATCTGTCTGTCCTCTGCTCCTCCTATCACCCGCCGTTTCTACGCAGTAGTATCCCTGGGAATTATTATTTCAAACTGGCACTTTCTCCAATTTCCCTGTTCTTTTGTGGGGTGTTCCCAGCCCGAGGACCCTCGCTACACGCCTACGACCAACCCGCCTGGTTATCCCGTACCTGGAGCAGGCTCTTCCGGAGCAGGCGCATCTGCTGCTGCAGGTGCATCTGCAGGTGTAGCTTACCCTTCGTCCCGCAGCCGAGGAGGAGGGGGGAAGCACCACCACCACCGCCACCACCACCACCACCACCACCAACCCCACCAACAGCCACACCAGCAGCCACACCAGCAACCCCAGTACCCTAACCTTCCCCAGCAGCAGCAGCACTACCCTGGGGTAGCCGGCAGTGCAGGGGGAGGCGCAGGGGGAGGGGCGCGCAGGGGGGGTCCCCTGCGCATCTCCCCCTCCTACTCCAACGAACCAGACGCCTCGGGGCTATCCGGGACGACGCTCGGGGGAGGCGGAGGCGGAGGCGGATGGGGAGGCGGAGGGGGAGGGGGGTGGGGACCGGGGAGGGTGAGTCTGGGCGGAGGGGGGTCCGTAGGGGGCGCGGGGGCGGGGGCGGGGGCGGGGGAGGGGGAGGGGGAGGGGGAGGGGGAGGGGGAGGGGGAGGAGGCGTGGGCGTGGTGGCGGGAGATGTACCAGGTGGATTGGAAGCCCAAGGAGGTGTTCTTCAAGTTCCGCCAGCGCTTCATGCAGTACAAGCTCGGCGCCAACATTGAACTCAGGCGGAAACTCGACCCCCCCCAGCTCTCAACCACCTCGCTTTCCCCGAAAGCCCCTGTTGCGCCCAAGCACAACCCGCTCTCCCTGTGGGGTTTCCAGGTGAGCAGGGCAGGGGGCGGGGGAGAGGGAATGGGGGGAGGGAAATGGGGGAAGGGGGGAAGGGAGGGGGGGATGTACCAGGTAGAGTGGAAGCCCAAGGAGGTGTTCTTCAAGTTCCGCCAGCGCTTCATGCAGTACAAGCTCGGGGCTAACATTGAATTGCGACGCAGGCTGGACCCCCCGCAGCACTCCACCACCTCCCTCTCCCCCAAGGCGACTCCTGCGCCCAAGTACAACCCGCTCTCCTCGTGGGGGTTCCAGGTGAGCAATTAAGGGGGGGCTCGTGGGAAGGGGAGTGGGCATGGGTGGGAAAGGGGGAAGGGCATGGGGAGAGGGAGGTGGACTGAAAGCCCAAGGAGGGGTTCTTCAAGTTCCGCCACCACTGACAAGGCTACAAGGACCATTGACATGAATTGATGAATGCGCTGGACTTTACAACCAGCTTGGGGGGAGAGAGGTGATGCCTGTCCGAGCCACCTGCTGCCGGTCGCATTTGATTTGAACATCGTGACCCTGAAGTTGGCCTCAAAGCCCAGCATCACTGAGCAGGTAAAGTTTCCGTCTGTCTGTCTGTCCGCTCGACCCTTCCTGTCAACAGGTGAACAGTGCATGAAGCTAGTCTTAAAGCCCAACATCACGAATTGCAAGTGTAAGGTCATCTTAAACACCTATGCCTCTTGTCCACTACAATACGCCCCCTGCTCTCACCAGGTGAACAGTGCGAACCTGAAGCTGGTCTTAAAGCCCAACATCACGGATCGCAAGTGGAAGGTCATTTTTGAGCCGCAGAGAGGAGACATCCGCTTCCTCACCCGCAAGATCCCCATCATGGGGCTGCTCAACCTGCAGGTGTGCAGTGCGGTGCCAGGCGGTGGTGTATCATCCGGTACGGTGCTGTGCGTTGCAGTGCGGTCAGGTGCGGTTATGGTGGGTGTGGTCGTGATGGTGGTATGTCGAGACCTACCTTTGAACCGCAGAGAGGAGACATCCGCTTCCTTACCCGCAAGATCCCCATCATGGGGCTGCTCAACCTGCAGGTGTGCAGTGCGGTGATATGTGGTGCAATGCAGGTGCTGTATGGTGTGGTGCGGCCAGTTATGGTTGTGTAATGTGGGCACCTATAAGGTTGCTATATCATCCCTTAATGTGGTGTGACAGTGGAAACTTAACTCTGCGCTCACTTGTCCCATCTTCTCCCCCCAACCCCTGTATTTCACCCCTCACCCCTCTCGGCCTTCACCCCACCTTCTATCTCTCGCGCCTTTTTCCCCGCAGGTGGGCATTGGGCATAAATTCAAGCACAACGCGCACCCTTATCCCGCAACCATGCAACCTCCACCCTCTCGTGCTAACTCTCTCCTTTTCTCGCCCACAGGTGGGCATTGGGCATGACTTCAGGCACAACGCAACGGGGTGGAAGTGGAAACTGACCAGAGTCCTCACTTTCCCCCCTTTCTCCCTTCTCTCTTCCCACTCCCCTTCTCTCTCCGCACCCCTCTCCCCACGCCCACAGGTGGGCATTGGGCATGACTTCAGGCACAACGCGACGGGGTGGAAGTGGAAACTCACCTCCGTGCTGAATGGGAACACGCCCTCAGAGATTCGTTATAAGCACAACCTGCCCGTGTGCCCGGGCATGGACGTGCGCGTGGGGTGGAATGCCGAATACGTGCTGCCCGACATGCACGGGTGAGCCTTGAAGGGATTGCGACCAGCATGCATGGGTGGATGTGCGGGTGGGGTGGAATGCCCTATACGTGCTGCCAAACACGAGTGGGTGAGCCTTGAAGGTAAATGTATGACATGGAGTGCATGGGCGAGGTGTGAGGATGAATGGGTGACTGTGGGTGAGCGTGAGCCTTGAAGGGGTTGTTCCATCCACATTCTTGGTGTTTTTGCTTCCTTCGTGTGCCCTTATTCACACGTAAATTTTCTGTCTTCCTTCTCCTCATCATCCGCCTCCCTCCTCTCACTTTCCTTCATTCACCCACCAACTCTCACATTCCTATTATCAGAGCCCTCCGTTTGGTACAGGGGAGCCCTTTCAAGGGCTGAATGTATGCCGTCCGTCACCCACCTCTTGTGTCTCTCTTCCCTCATAACTTTCTCTCTTCTGTATCTGTCCCCTCTTGTGTTTTTCTCCTCTTTCATCTCTTCACTTCACCCAACGACTCTTGCAACCCCATCATCAGAGCCTTGGGAACAGGGGAGCCCATTCTCGGGCTGAATGTGGGGCGGTTGTACGCATCTGTGGAGAGACTAGAAGCCATCTTCACCTCCATTGACTGACGTTGACTGCCGATGACCGCTGTTTACCGTTGTTGACGTGGCTAGTTGATGGTGATCATGGGCAGGCAGCCCCTTCCTGTGATATGCAAATGAGATGCGATGAGGCTGCAGCTTGCGTGTGCATTTTAGCTAAGAAACTCCAGTCTGCGTAATTGTGTTGAAAATCATTACCGTAGAACGTTTTCCCATTTCCAACCTGAGATTGCAATCGTACCCCAGTAGCGCTCTCCACTGTATCGAAGCCACTTCATGATTCAAGCTTCTGCCTTGGTATGTTGGATGTGTCGTGGCTCCCACATGCTAGACAAGCCCACTCACACGGACCACAACCCTAGACTGGACGGAGGCGCTTCCCTTCAAACTAGTCCAGTCGATAATAACGGGGTTGGGTTTGAATTTCCATGTACCACCACCACGGTTTTGTTTGGTGCACTGCGGTCCAGAGTGGCAAAGAACAAGAACCGTGCTTTACCGTGTGCAAACCTACTGAACCGAGCTTATCATCCACGGAGCAACTTGAAATTATTTTACCTGATTTGAAAGATCATCCTCGTCCTGCGTGACTTTGTTGTGAATGCTCCAGCCAGCAGCGAAGGACTTCTCATCAAGACGCTTTGCTCGCTTGTTCATTTCCACCGTTCCTTGTCCCCCGATAACCAGGCCTGTCCTTATCACTCATGCCGTTATGACTGGCTGCTATTCACCTTTTGCCTCCCTGCCGGGCTAATTTAAATATATTGCCGATATTACTGTTTTTAATTCAAAAGGGGCTTCATGGCAGCTTCCGAACCTCATGACGCGAAGCCGTCTTGGCTACCTTTTGTGGCCTTGCTAGCGCTATTCGCGTTAGTAGTAGTTCCATTACTGCTCTTCACCGTCCTCATGGAATCATACACGATATACGCTGACGCACCAAACGTCCACGTTCACCCGGGCCAGCTCTCCGCGAACGAGCACGATAAATCAGATGCTAACGTGGCTGCGAGCCAGGAGAACTGTCAGCTTCCAGAAAATCTTCTGGCAGGATCCGATCCGATTTGCTGGTGGTCCGGAGACCATGGCGGATACGGTAGCGACTCCTCGGGAACCAACATCGACACCATCCAGCCGGCTGCGGGCAACCAGGCAGGAATAGAGGAGGAAAGAATTCGGAGGCAGAGAACGGAAGGCGTTCTGATTTTCGGCGGGGGTTGCTCCCGCTGCACGGCGGGCGAGCTGTGCGCCTTCGAGATTGCCGTCCGATCGCCGGCCAAATGGGTCGCGCGAGCAACGGGATTCTCCGCCAGCTATAGTGGTAGCGCCAGCAGCAGCAGCAGCAGTGATAGCGAGAGCAGCAGTGGTGGTGGTGACAGCAGCAGTGGTGGCGCCTCAGGTAGCAGTAGCGGCGAGAGATTAAGGGTGGGTGACACGCGGATGGGCGTGGGCGGGTTGCGCGAGTCGCTGGTGGTGAGGCTGATGGGGCCTGCGTTGGCTGTAGCGGATGTGACTACAGAGGAGGGTGACGTCACACGATGGCGAGTCACGTACCGCGTGTGGGACGCTGGAAACTACAGGTGAGGCTTGAGGCTTGTGGCTTTCCAGGAGACATGGGAACGGGGAGGAGAGGAAAAGGGAGGGGAGGATGGGGAAGGAAGGAGTAAAGAGAAACATGGGTCAGGAGGGGATTAGGCGAAAAGGGTAGGGGGGGCAATTTTTCTTCCTGAATCCCTCCCCTCCCCGCCACCCCTCCCCCCCCTTATCCCCCCTTTTCCCCAACCTTTCTCCTCTTAATTCAAATCTTTCAAACGTTTACTACTAAAACCAAGGTATATCAAATCCCATTTCACCTTTCTTCTCCCCGCTTCCTCTTCTTCCGACCCCCCACTCAATCAGCGTTCTGGCCCAATCAGAGTGCGACACGCTGGACTTTGCTCCCGACTACATGGAGCGAGTCAAAAGCACGAAATCTCATGTCATGGCTCAATGGGTCCTCACTGTTCTCCCATCCACCAAACCAGCTACCGAACCAGTTTCCGAACCAGCTACCAAACCAACTACCGAACCATCCACCGAACCAGCTACCGAATCAATTGCCAAACCAGTTACGGAACCAGCTACTTCTGATGACTCCCAACCCAGCAGCACATTGCCTCGGGATGCAATGGACGGTCCAGATTCGCCCTGTGACCATTCCATCCACGGCCGGTGGCTGTTCAGCCCACAACAGAAAGCCTACACATGGCAGCTCTACCCCTGCGCGCACCCCCTCCCCCCCACCTCCCAATGGCTCTCCGCCCTCCAATCCCGAGGCATCTCTGAAATCAACTTTGTGGGAGACTCTCACGTGCGATTCCTCTTCCACCACTTCTACTTCCTCCTCACTGGCAAGGCCAATGCGTCCACTTACCAGTACCATTGGGACATTCATTTGGTTGTGCCGCCCCCTAGCCCGGAGCTACAGCCTCTGAAGCTCAACTTTTACTGGAACGGAGGGATGTTTGTCAACGGTTCCTTTGGCTGCAGGTGAGGTGACTTTTGAGACGTCTCAAATCCCACTCCCTAGCCCGGAGCTAAAGCCGCTGATGCTCAACTCTTAGTCAACTTTTACTGGATCGGAGGGATGTTTGTCAACGGTACTTTTGGCTGCAGGTGAAGTGTGCGAGCCAAGGCTTTACTGTGTTGTTTATGTTTGTTTATTTCAAATTGATTGTTTTCTCCGTCTCTATGTTGTAGACGGTTGCTGTCTTTGTACCAGGATTGCTATCCAATGTGTGGCTGGATGCAGAAAAGTTTCTTGCTCTGAACTTACTCCATCTGCCATCTCTTCCCACCATTTCCTTTTTTTTTTTCACTCCTTCGTTATAATCACTGTGCAGGAATGAGAACATCACGTCATTTGAAATGCTCAAGTTCCCCAACATTTCCACCACAGCCCAAGTGACGCTCGTGGATGGCGGTTACTGGACAATCTTCTTTTGCGACGAGCCTGAAAACGCCTTTGGGTACTATTTTCCTAACTTCCTGCAATGGTTCTACTCCAAAATAGAATCAATTCAGCAGGAGCATCAGAAGCAGCAGCAGCAGCTCCAGGGGCAGGTTGAAACTCAGAAGCTGCCCGACAAAGGCCGTTGGTTTCTGTACCGAACCATCCCTCCAAAACGGCTCAACAATTTCTGTGATATTGGAACAAACACCCTCATTTCACACCTGAACAAAGTGATTGCCGGGCATTTAGGACGGTACGGGATGTCTCTTCTCAACGACTGGCTGATTGCTGCACCTAGGCCTGACGACACTTGTAAGGATACGGATGTCCACTACAGTTGCTTTGCCAAAGCTAAGGGAGCAAAGGTGACTACAGAATGGGGGGGAAAGTATTATGGGACTGTGGGAGAGGCGATGGCGTTGAATTTGATTTACCATTTATTGTATGAGCTAGATTGAGTTAAACATTACTAGCATCTTGATTCTTGAATCGAATGGGTATAACGCCTAAATCATCGCTGCACACCACTTGCCGCTTGAATCGGAGCCTGCAAAATCCTGCAAGCACGAGCCCACCCGCTCCGTTTTTCCACACCCCCGTCCGTATTTCGTAACCTGTATTTTCGAGTGTGTTCTCCCAACGGCACGTGTAGCGAATCACATAATTCTAGCACCCAGCCAGCCACGATTACTACGGTACAGTACTTCTGCCAACCCACACCAGTGTGGGAACGCAAAACACGACGCCAGCTCGTCAGCAAAACCTCCGACACCCAAAACGAACCAGAACCGAGGGTCCTCCTCGCTCATCACACCGACCACGTCTTCTCCCCGGTTAGTACCAACCGGGGAACATCGATCTTGGGCTTTTCCACCCCCTCCCCCAAACCTGCCTCACCAAGCACCCCTCGAGCCGAAAGACGAGAGTAAGGGCGTATTCCTGGCTTTGGGGCCCCGGATTCATGTCATCCGAAATTTGCGGTATCCAATCGAAAAAATCAAATTTCGAACCGCGGGTTTTCCGATTGGCTACCTCAATTTTCGGATGACACAAACACCGGATGACCCGAAGCTAGGAATACGCCCTAACAAATTTTATCAAATGACGTACCAATCATCGGTTTTACCTGGTGCGTTACGGTCGAAACTGGCAGAGAGTACGAACCGTGGGGAAAGCCACTGTACCGCATTGGAGGTTCAGAGAGCGGGTCGGTGTGGCAAGGCAACCATCTTTCGAAATGGTCGTTACGCCCTTTCCAGCCTTCATCCCGCTTCCTTCTCAAAAATACCTCCTAAAACGAAAGAGCGCATCATCTCAGGCACAAGAGGTAACATGAGGGCGTGTCACGCGTCTCTGCTCCGCCCTCGGACCCCCATGGTCCTTGCTTAGCGCATGAATTGTCACCGCATCATCAGTGCTCCAGCAGCAGTGGATTCCTCGGCCACAGATGGCTCCTCAACGAGTTGTTGCAAGCCGTTATGTAACAGCCTGCGCAATCTCGCTTTACTCTAGCCATTCTTTTTATTGCCCAGACGTATTGAAGCGAGGTGACTTTTGAGTCGACTCAAAGTCACAGCCCGCGCAATCTAGCTTTACTCTAGCCATTCTTTTACTATTTCCCAGACGTGTTGAAGCGGTGCATGCGATATCCGCTGCGGTTTGCGGTTAACCAGCACAGCTAGTCTTAAATTATATTCATACATTTTTGTTTCGGACGAAGCCACTCCATGGCGGCAGCTTCCGTAGCGAATGAATCGAAGCGGTACTGGGTGGTCTTTATGGCCTTTCTGACGCTGTCCGCGTTAGTGGTAGTTCCGTTACTACTCTTCACCGTCCTCGTGGACTCATACACGATATACACAGACGCTCCAAGCCTGCAAATCTGGCTCGGCGCGCTTGCGTCAAGCCGAACCAGCGAACCGTCCCGTACTGCTCACGAACAGGCCAACCCGAACACTGAATTGACTCCGAGCCAGGGAAAGAGCACCGTTCCGGAAAATCCGGTAGAATCAGATCTGGTTTGCTGGTGGTCTGGGGATCACGGCGGGTACAGCGGAGGCGACTCGTCTGGAACCAGCAGCAGCATGATGATAAAATCCAATCATGGCGCAACTTCGCGGCGGAAGGGCGGAGTTCTGATTTTCGGAAGAGGTTGCTCCCGCTGCACGGCTGGTGAGCTGTGCGCCTTCGAGATTGCCGTCCGATCGCCCGCGAAATGGGTCGCCACACGCGAGCGAGCGGGGAAACGAAGAGGTCGCCGAGCTCTGGTTCGATCACGCGCGCTGGACGGGGGATTTGGTTCAATCGGGCCGAGAAGCAGCAGCAGCAGCGCCGACTCGAGCGGATCTGACGGCGGCTTGACTGGCGCGCTGCGCTCAGCGAGTCGGAGCGCGTGGAGTAGTGACGCTGCCAGGAACCAATCGAGGAGAAGAAGCGGCCGGTCTTTACGGGAGTCTGGTTCTATAGGTGGTGGCAGCAGCAGTGGTAGCGGCAGCTATGGCGGCGGCAGCAGCAGCAGCGCGCGGAGGGGCTTGGGTGGGTTGCGCGAGTCGCTGGTGGTGAGGCTGATGGGGCCTGCGTTGGTTGCAGCGGATGTGACTGCAGAGGAGGGTGACGTCACGCGATGGCGAGTCACGTACCGCGTGTGGGACGCTGGTAACTACAGGTGAGGCCTGAGGGTTGCTGGGAGGAAGAGGGGAGAAGGGTAGGAGAGGCAAAGGGGTGGACAGGAGGGAGGGAAAGTGAAAGGGAAGGAGGGACAGGGAGAAAGGGGAAGGGAAAGGAAGGGATGGGGGCAAATGGGTAGGAGAAATAAGGGAGGGAGGAAAAGGGACGTGTAAAGCGGGATTGGGGGCAAATGGGTTGGTGAGGGAGGGATTGGGAGCAACGGGGCTGGAATGGTGGAATTCTAGCTTTTTATCTCGTTCCCCCAACGCTACTCCACCTGAACCCCATTCCTTCAAATGTCTATACCTTAGTCTGATGACACCCTTATTTCTCTTTTCTTCCGTTTTGTATCCCTACCCTTTCTACCAACTCCCCGCCCAATCAGCGTCCTGGTCCAATCAGAGTGTGACACGTTGGACTTTGCTCCCGATTACTTGGAGCGAGTCAAAAGCACGAAATCGCATGTCATGGCACAGTGGATCCTCACCGTCCTTCCGTCCACCAAATCAGCTTCTGAACCAGCTGCTGCAGCTGAATCTCAACTCAGCAGCATATTCTCTCAGGAGGCAACGGACGGTCCAGATTCGCCCTGCGACCATTCCATCCACGGCCGGTGGCTGTTCAGCCCACAACAGAAAGCCTACACGTGGCAGCTCTACCCCTGCGCTCAACCTCTCCCCCCCACCTCACAATGGCTCTCCGCCCTCCAATCCCGGGGCATTTCCGAGATTAACTTTGTCGGGGACTCCCACTTGCGATTCCTCTTCCACCATCTCTACTTCCTTATCACTGGGAAGGCCAATGCATCTACTGTGAAGCTTCACGGAGACATCCGATTGGTCGTGCCGCCGCCCAGTCCGGAGCTACAGCCCCTGAAGCTGAATTTCTATTGGATCGGAGGGATCTTCGTCGACGGTCATTTTGGCTGCGTGTGAGTCCAGTGGTTGTGTGCTTGTGTGCGGGTGCGCGCATGTGCGTGTCTGTGTGCGTGCGTGTCTGTGTGTGTGCGTGTCTGTCTGTGTGTGTGTGGATTGGAGGGAGTTACATCGACAGTCCTTTCGGCTGCGTGTGAGCTGAGCTGTTTTTGGTTATTGTGCGCTCTTGCATGCATGAGCATGCCTGTGTGGGTGTGGCTTTGGATGTGGGTGTATGTAGGTGTGGGTGTGGGTGTTGGTGTTGGTGTGTGGGTATGGGTGTGTGTAGGTATGGGTGTAGTTGTGGGTAGGTGTGGCTGTGGGTGTGGGTGTGGGTTTGTGTGTGTGTGTGCGTGTGTGTGCGTGTGTGTGTGTGTGTGTGTGTGTGTGTGTGTGCGTGCGTGTGTGTGTGTGTGCGCTGTTGTGTGCATGCTTGTGTGTGTGTGTGTGCGCGCGCGCGCGCGCGAGCGCGCGCGTGCTTGTGTGTACGTGCTTGTGTGTGCGTGCTTTTGTGTGTGTGTGCGCGCGCGCGTGTGCTTGTGTGTGTGTGTGTGTGTGCGTGTGTGTGTGTGTGTGTGTGTGTGTGTGCGTGTGTGTGTGTGTGCGTGTGTGTGTGCTTGCTTGTGTGCATGTTCATGTCCAATTGCGGTCTTCATTTCGTAATCCTGTTGCATCACCTCGTAACCTATGCATGATTCCTCGTACCACTTAATGCATGATCCCTCTAACCCTCCTTCTCTTCATTTTCTGTGTGGACCAATCACAGATACTGACTCTGAATTCAATCACAATGCAATCACAATTTATGTGCCTTCTCTTTCCTCTCTTCATTTCCGCATTCTCCCTTAACCCCTCCTGTGCTGGAAAAAGGATACACGCGTCACATCACTGGACAGGCTTAAGTTCCCCGCCATGTCCCCACGGCTGATGTGATGCTTTTTGATGCTGGCTTCTCGTTCATCTCTTCATTTCTGCATTCTCCCCTAACCCCTCCTGTGCAGCAAAAAGGAATCGCGCATCACATCACTGGACAGGCTCAAGTTCCCCGACATTTCCAGCACAGCTAATGTGATGCTGTTCGATGCTGGCTTCTGGACGGCCGTTTTTTGCGACGAGCCGGAGAACGCATTTGGGTACTACCTTCCTAACTTCCTGCAGTGGGTTTATTCCAGAATGGAACTGGCTAGGCAAACGAGGTGGCAGCAGCAGCAGCAGCAGCAACAACAACGGAAGCTGCAGGAGCAGCAGCAGCGGCAGCAGCAGAAACGGAGATTGCAGGAGCAGCAGCTTCCAGGGCAGGCTGAAACTGATACGCAGCCTGAGAAAGGACCTTGGTTTCTGTACCGAAGCATCCCTCCGAAGCGGCTCAACGATTACTGCGAGCTCGGAACCAACGCGCTCATTTCGCACTTGAACAAAGTTGCTGCCCGGCACTTGGGTCGATTTGGGCTGTCGCTGCTCAATGATTGGTTGATCGCAGCCCCGAGGCCTGACGACACGTGTGGGCCTAACGATGTGCACTACACTTGCTTTGCCGAGTCTGAAAGAGTCGGGAATGATCCGATGGGATCAGATGGGAGGTACTATGGGCCTGTGGGAGAGGCGATGGTATGGAATTTTGTTTACCACATGTTGTATATGCTTGATTGAAAGTTTCATCAGCAAGGGTGGTACGAGCAGACATACATCGCAACGTGAGCAGGCTCATCACCACAGTGGTACATCAAGCAGGGTGCATTCCTGAAGCGCGCAAAAGCATCGAGTCTCGACTTAAACGACGAGATACAGTGTGGTGGAAATGTTTGATTCTTTGGTGTAATGTGGTGCAGAGCAGTACATTGTTTTATGACGGAATTGACACACGCGTGTCCATACCATACATGAATGTACCCTAACGATGATACCGTATATGCTTCAGATCAATCACCCTGAGCAGTAAGAGCTGAAAGGCTACGAATGCTACATGTCAGCAGCATCCAGGCCTCCAGGGCAGGCTACTACAACTCCCAAGGGTGGTTGTGGTGCAGTACACAGACTGCTTTATTTACAATATCATATTTGTACAGAGAATACAAATGGTGTCGAGCATAAGAAGCTAACCAGCGTTGCCTGCTATCCTAGGACAGAGACCCCGACGAGGTCTCAAGAACCAACACCGAGGTACGCAAAATCAGCCAGGGAAGGTGGAGTGGGTTCCAGTGGCGACACAGACTAGAAACTTCCCTAACTTCCCCACTGTACCTTACACTACTTGTATACAATACAACATACCGTACAGCCCTGCCCGTGAACTACAGCGGTTGATCTTGGGAAGAGATGCTGGAATGATCAGTAGTTAATGGTATATTTTCCACCCTCAAACTAACACGTAACAAACGTTCTGAACTTCATTCCTTTCTTGCAGCCAACAGTGCTTGCAAAGAAGAGGCTTACACATGATTCTTCCACCTTGTAAGTATACCTGCCAAGCGGGATACATCAATCACACAACAATGGATGAAGTAAATACAAGGTTCAGAGCTCGTACTGTCTCTTCACTCACAACACAATGCATGAACATAGCGAATAGCAGTGTGAGACAAATTGGACAGGTAAGTGAGAGTGCAAGCGAGAACAAGCACGGAGGAGTCAAACCACATTGAACCAGAAACGTAACTGTGTTAGTACGAGTTTCATATCACAATTCCGAGAGGGTTAACCAGAGTGAGGGGAAATTACCTTCCAAAGAAAGAGGTTGGGGCGAGCATGGTTCCTTGCTGGGAGTTCTTGGCACAAGCATCGTAATCCCCTTCATGCCCGCCATTGTACTGATACACATTCGCCTGGGTGTTCCATATAAACACTGCAATTTCAGAGCAATAAACGTAAGGCACAAGTTGCTATGTGAGGTGTAGCAGCACACACACCTCATACAACCACACACCCACCGTGAGGGGACAATCACAATGTGAGACGATGGGGTAATAGGAGCTTAAACGGATAAGCTTAATGGGGTGTAACTCACACTTAATGCTTTAATTGCATGGTAGCGGAAAAGCACTAGCGATGCGAAGAGATTAGTATCTCATTACCTAGCTTGTCGCCATGCTTACTGTGCATGTCGCCATGGCCAACCTAGTTCGTTGTCATGCTCTACCAAGCTTGTCGCCATCGCTTACCTAACCTAGTATATGCATGAAGAACCTATACCAATGAAAAAACGAGCTTTAAGCACCCTAATAGACCCAGGCGTCAACTGAGAGGGAATTGAATTTTGCGTACTCCCTAAGTCAATACATCCATTTGAGTCGAATCAAAACTGCATGCAAGTAAGACCAGTTAGGGTGCCTTGCATTTGACGCACCAAACTCGTCCCCAACTTTAGCGTCAGCCAGAACCTTCCACTTTTTCATGTTGCCCCGCTCCACGCGATGACCTTCGACTCGACTCAAACATGACTTCTGAGTCGACTCGAACGTGACTTCTGAGTCGACTCAAACATCTTCACTAGGCCACTTCTCCTGACTCTCATCGTAAGTCACGTGCCAAACTGACCCTCGAGTCACGCACAAAACTGACCCTCGAGTTACGCACCAAAACTGTCTCTCATCGAAATTCACGTACCAAACTGATCTCCAACTTTGACTTCAGCGGGAGCCTTCCATTTTTTCATATTCTTCACGCTCCACGGGTTCATTTGCTTCTTCGACCAGGTCGAAAGCTTTGTTAGCTTCATCCCGCCCCCCACATAGTACGTCGTGGCCTGAACGATTGAGGAATAAGGAGCAACCAACAGAATACGAGGAGGGAGAGATGGAAAGGGAGAGAAGGGCATTAAAAGTATAGAACTAAAGTAGACGAGTGATGGAGCAGAGGTGAACGGAAAGGAAAGGTCGCGGCACGGACGTTCGGGCGATGCTGGAGTGGGGTGCGTGGAAAGGCGGAGGACGTTTTTGAGTCGACTCAAAAACATGATCGCGACACGAACGTTCGGGCAGATGGTAGAGTGGGGTGCGTGGAATGACAGGGGACGGAGAGAGGGGTGGTGGAGAGAGCAATATATTCCGGAAAAAACGAGGAGACTCTGACTCGAAGTGAGAAGGGGGTTGCAGGGGAAAGGTGAGGGGGGGAGAATAGGGGGGAGGGGTAATGTGGCGGGTGCGAACTGGATAAGAGCGGACGCTAGGGAAGATGGTGGAGGGGGGTGCGTGGAAAGCATGGGGTACAGTCGGAGTAGTTTGCTTGGCGTCTCTCGGCTTACCTGTGCGGTTAGAAGTGCTGCGACAGTGCAACAGTCAGGCGCCACCATGTACACGTCAGGCAGGATCATGCACACGTCATGAAGCATCATGCACACGTCAGGCAGGATCATGCGCACGTCAGGCAGAACATGAGAAAAGCAAGAAGGACGAGGGAGAAGAGAAATAAGTCGGATGTCATGTTCACAAAGATCGTCACTCAATAATAGCAACACACTTGTTTTGATACTCAATATTAGCAGCACACTTGGGAACACTTGGGAGGGTCGGGAATGAAGCGCGCAGGAATGAACGTTAAGCGGAGGGGAGAGGGAGGGGGAGGAAGCCACGTACAAGCGAGGCCGAGAGCGGAGAGACACAGAAAGAGCGTTAGACGATGCAACGACATGGTGGCAGCGCTACTCCGTTGTTGTTTTGCACCCGCTTCTCTAGACTAAGCCTAGCTGCTCTAGGTCGCAACAGACTACGAACCACGCTAAAAGGTAACGCTGGAAAAGCTGGACGAAAAGCTGGACGCTAAGAAGTGAAGCTGTTAGGGTGACAGTAAGGCTCGTCTCGCTAGCGACTGCTAAGGACTACGCAGGAAAACCATGGAGCAGATGGGGAGAACCAGGATGGATTGCTGTCTGCAGTTGGGGGAAGGAAGCGAGGAGTGGTTTTGTTGCGGGAATAACTAGGGTGCGACGCGGTGAAAGTGGGTGGGAGGGATCAGAAGTGGTGAGAAGTGCGAGTTCAGGAGTTCAGGAATATATGGAGGCGTTTATTACCTTGTTGCGGAGAGATGGGTTCCTGCACACGGACTCAGGACGCGTCACAAGTAGAACATCGATCCTGCCTAGAATCGGTGTTTAGGTGGTTACACATTTTCGTTTATTTTCGTTAACGTACAGTTTTCCCTTCTAAGTCAGGCGATCGATGTGCCCCTGTCACACATCGATCGTGCAATTTCGTCCACATCGGGCAATTTTGCCCCATGTTTTTACGATCGTGTCACTTGAAACTTCAAAGCAGTCGTGACACACCGATATGGCGATCGGTTTGACAGGTTCGGTGAACAACCCTGATCCTTCCTCGATATTTTACTTGTGACGCGTCCTCAGGCGGGGGGGGTGATGAACAGTACAATCGTGCCAGCCAGCCAGGGAAGGGGGTGTGCCAAATCTGGAGAAACAGCTGAAGAAGCATGCGCCTCCAAAACAGACAGCCAATCAGTAACGAGTTCGGCCTGACCCCCTCGACTCGAGATGTTTTCAGCACCCATGGTTCTCTTGGGGCAGTCGCTCAATGCGTCCGATCTCAAAATTGTAGGCACGGAATTCAGGGTGTACAGAAGGAGACTACCCGATTGCGGATCCGTATGCAAGGATAAAATAAATGTTACAGAAGTTATGCACGCTGCGGTCTTCGGTGAGTAGACTCTTGCGGTCAGGTGGTTTCGGTCAGGTGAAAACATCGGTCCCAGCCACAGAGGTTTCTACATGTGGCTGAGGGAATGTTTTCCAGGAAGCGAAACGTGCAAAAACGTAAGAGCAACCTCGATAGGAGCGAACTTACGCGTGCGACTGGTGAGTTTATCGCGTTTATCAGGATGTTGGCACTTTCAACTGATATCAGTAATAATTTCTCATCCGCTCTGGGCCTTATGTGGCGTGTGCATGTTTATTAGATTGACTCAGAACTAATATATTTGGGCCAATATATGTGACTGTACGTGACATTGCGTATCTGTGTTACAGAAATGTTTCAGCGAGGATGGAAACAAGCATTCTTCCCCCTGGCTGCTTATCGCCTTCTTTCCGAAGGTTTGGGAGGACTGTTCTTGTTGTGTCCCTTACCACACACGATGACCAGGCCGTGACGGGTAGGGGGCTTGTACGACGTCACAATGACGTGGATGGTCCTTCGCCCAAGCATGTTAGGACAACTGGCACAATGGGCTTGGAGGAGGTTTGCGTGCGAAGGCCAACGGAGCTCGTCTCACGCCGCATTCAGAAGAACCATACCAGCGGGGGAGGTCTGTCTGTATGTTGAACCCAAACCACCGTTCCTTCTCAACTACGGCAGCAGCCGCAGCGACAGTCTGGGGGGCGAGTTGACAGGCTCTCCACCAAGTCGACTGTGTAAGGGCGTGTCCGAAGTGAGGCGTCGATGGATGACGCTGGATGTCGGTAAATGTCAACCCTCGGATCAAAAGTTCCAACCGTCAGGATTTGCCGACATCGGATGACGCTGGATGTCACGTTCACTTCGGACTCGCTCTAAGCTCGATTTGTGTGGCTCGGTGACGAGACCTGCTCTGGAAGCCTCCGAAGCAGTGGATGACCTATGAAAAGCCGCATCCACGTTCGACGAAGCTAAACCCCTTAGCATTTTCAGCTAATAGCGCAGCCTCGATACAGACCGAACCTCCCACCAAGAAACTTTTTGTAGTACGTTGCTTGAGTGGTTGTTGCTTAGGCTTGTCGGTATGTTCATCTGTCATTGATTCCAAGCCTAATGGCTAGGCTCGAAGTCGGTCTAGCTTTGGCTCTTGACCGTGTTCACCAATCAGACCCTGAAGTCAACTCAGATACCGTTCCAAAAATAAGTTTCATTCTCTCAGGAGCAGTTTGCTCAGGCTCGGACGTTCCAAAGCAATGGAAGCACGTTGTTTTCACTCCATAGAACACCCTACAAGTTGGTCCTGCTTATCCGTACTTGTTTGAAAGAACACGCAATGACCAGGTCGAACCACCCTCACTTAACCATACCGAAGCAATCACCGCAACACCATTCCGAACCAGATAGACCCCGAACCTCCCCGAGCCAACCACGCGTGTTTTGCCCAACGCCGTGTGGGGGACGCTGGCGGCCGTTTGCGAAACGTCAGCTCAGCACAGCTGCACCGCTGCACCATCCATCCATGCTGGGTGGTGTATCGGTTCTGCTGTAACCTGGGCGGGTGGGATGTGACATGGGGAGATGAGATGAGAGGGAAGAGAACGGAGGCTTTTGCTGATAGTCCAGCTTGGTTCGGAGGGGTTTCACGGGGTATATTACGGTTCTCTGTTGTTACCTCTTTCAACCGCAATGAAACAGACTACACCGTGGTTTATGGATGGAATAGGAGGTGAATGCACAAGGCACTTGCTTCCCCTCTCCTCACTATTTTAGGGGGGCTGGCCTTGGGGTTTCACTCCTATTCCCTAAATCGTAGCACCTGGCTGGTGGTTGTCTGTCTGGTCCGTTTCCGAACTGTCTGCCCTGTTGCCGAGATAGCTGCGTCCTCCCCGCGACTCGGTTCTCCTGGTCCTGTCAAGGTCGCGTAGTTTATAATTCGCGGGCTTTTCTCGACGGCTATTTACTTATTCATTGCTCTCGTATAGGAAGGAGGCCGACGAACGTATTAACGTTTTAAATATCGCTTAAACCGCCTTAAAAGAACGACCCCCATATTCATTAGCGTTTTAAGACTTCTTCTACGAGTCTCAGAAGAATTGCTATTACGCTGAGGAGCTTTACAAAGCCCGCTGATATTGCCCGATTAATCCGCTCCTTGACTGTTTGCTCCTGGCCTCCTTTTCAGCAAGCTGCTTCAAGACTTCAAGAATTCTCTTCTGAATGGCCGCCATTTTCTTCCGCTGCTGTGCGCCTCCTTGCGTCTCGCTCACGCCCTCCTCCTCTTCCGCTTCCCGTGGAACTTCCAACTGCCCTTGCACCCCTCCCGGTTTCTGCGTGACTTCGCGCCGACCGTTGCTTCCGCCACCCGAAGGATCTCTTTTGCCTGACGCTACCCGTTCGATCAGCTTACTCGGCCGCGCGAATTGCCAGAAGAAGCGGAGCAGTTGCTGTGGAATCGGAATCAGCGGCAATCGCGGCGGAACCGTCAGATGCTGCTCCGAATTGAGGACTCCGTTGATTTCCCCAACTTCTACGACGATTCCTGCCGTTCCTGCTGTTACTCCCGCCGGCAGCAGCGCCGGTAACAGTGATGGGAGCAGCTGTTGCAATACTGATGCGGAGAAAAGGGCGGTGAGCGCTGATATTACTCGTACGGAGTCTGTTTATAACGAGTCGTCTTCAGTTGGATCCAGAGAAGCCGCTGGGTCTTACGTGGCAGCCAATGGGGAGGTTTGTCAGAACGGCGTTTCGGATGCCGTCGGCGCAATGCAGCAGTTTGAATTCACGTCGGGACTGCGCGGACCTGACGCTAAGTTTGCCGGCGACCGACAAGTCAAGACGGTTGGCGGAGCGAACAAGACTGCTGGAAACGCGAAAAGGGCTTCAGGCGAAAGGAGGAAGGTCGCAGGGCGACGGAAGAAAGCGGAAAGCAGCGCTCCGCACTCCGAGCCCGCCTCCCGTTCCTCGCAGCTCCTCCGCGCGATGATGCGCGGAAGGTTCGACGAAGCCGCGTCCCTCGCAACGGCTCCCAGCGCAGAACACGGGGTCCTTGACGGGAAGGAATCGGCACCCGTGTTTATCCGCGCGGCTGCGACGGCCACTGCAGCCGCCATAGGTCTCAGCATCGTGACTGCCGCGCCTTGCCTCCCAACCGTCTCCCCTGCCTCCGCCGCCGCTTTCAACCGCGTTGCTGACGTGGCGGCGGCGGGGCTGCCGGCGGAGGTTCTGCCGCCGATCGCGGCGGTGAATACGGGCGACGTGTGGCCGTCGCTGTACCACTCGGCGCAGTTCTTCTCGTCGTTCCGCCCGCTGCCCGTTCCGATCACGTTTGACGAAGGAAGCTTCGCGGATCGATCGGGCTTCGCCGCGCCGCCGTTAGTGTACACTTACCCCTCTACTGACGCGTCGGTGGAGACGCGTAACGAGCCGCTAACGGCTCGCGCAGTCGCTGAATCGTCCGCAGTTCCGGCATCGCTGCCGGTTAGTCTACCGGCTTCACTACCGGCCGCCTTACCCGCTTCTCTCCCGGCCGGAAACTTCGCGTTGCCCGCACCTTCCGCTGCGGTTTTGCGCGTGCCCCCTTCTGGGGCTGCGGTAACCAGTGCGCCTGTGGCGCTCGAATTTCCCGCCGCTCCCGCCGCGTCCGCGGATGCGGGGAAGGAAGCGGCGGGTTCCGCGGGCGCGGATGCGGGCGCGGGTGCTGACGTGGTGTTAGGCGTGAATGTGTCCGTGCTAAAAGCCGCCTTTGGCACTGTGTTTAAGCTGTTCGGCATCTGCGGTAAGTTTAGGAGATGTCTCGAGATTTATTGTTGTAGACGCCTCATAAGCTTTGCCGCTTGTTTTCTGTGCAAGGTTTTGGGAAGGCGCTTCTTCCCACTTTCCATCTCGCTTCCTCTATCTTCCATATCCCCTTCCTCCACCCCTCCCCTCCCTCCCATCCCTCCCCTCACCCCACCCGTCCCCTCCCTCACTCCCTCCCTCTCTCCCCTCCCTCCCTCCCTCCCTCCCTCCCTCCCTCCCTCCCTCCCTCCCTCCCTCCCTCCCTCCCTCCCTCCCTCACTCCTCCTATCCTCCGTTGTATGTTGTCAGTCACATTTTTACCTCTTACATTTCGCGCCTCTTCGCCCATCAAGTCGTTGCTCCTTGCCTCTCCTCGCCCCTCTTCCTCCTCCTACCTCCCGTCGATTCACATTTCCTCTTACAGGGTTGCCCCTCTTCGCCCGTCAAGTTGAAAGTTCTGTTGACTCACCTGCCCCTCTTCCTCCTCCCCTTCTCCCTTTTTCTCCCCCTCCCCTCCTGCCCCCCGTCCCACCCTCCCTTTCCCCCCTGCGCCAATTCCTTGCCATGCTTTGCGTGCGTGCGTGTGCGTGCGTGCGTGTGCGTGCGTGCGTGTGCGGGCGGGCGTGCGTGCGTGCGTGCGTGTGCGTGCGTGCGTGTGCGTGCGTGCGTGTGCGTGCGTGCGTGCGTGCGTGTGCGTGCGTGTGCGTGCGTGCGTGTGCGTGCGTGTGCGTGCGTGCGTGCGTGCGTGCGTGCGCGTGCGTGCGTGTGCATGCCTGCGTGCGTGTGCGTGCGTGCGTGTGCGTGCGTGCGTGTGCGTGCGTGTGCGTGCGTGCGTGCGTGCGTGCGTGCGCGTGCGTGCGTGTGCATGCCTGCGTGCGTGTGCGTGCATGCAAGCAGCATTCGTGGTGTGTCTACAGAAGTCGGGCATTCTACCCAAGTCCACGCCTTCAGTGCTCAGCCAGGTGCGTTGTTAGTGGGTGCGTGGGTGGTCGGTTGCATGGGTGTGTGTGGGTGCGTGAGTGGGCGGCTGCGAGCGGGTGTGTGTGTGTGTGCGCGCGCGCGCGCACGCGCGCTCGTTTGCTTGTGCGCAAGTGCTCTCACCTGCATGGGTATTGGTCAAACGCGTATGCGTACATAACCAAAGTTATCAGTATCTCATGTACGAATGTCTTCTCTGTCTGCTCAAATCTGCAGTCCTAATCGCCCCATGAATTGTCATTCATCCCCTTTCTACCTTTTTTCTCCCCTCTCGTTTCTCTCATCCTCTCTCCCTTCTCTCATCCCCTCCTTCTGATCCACCCTGTCTCTCCAGGTTTCCTTTCGAGTGCTCATCCCGTGCTTCCTCATGACCAAGGTACGTTTCATGTGCAGTGCACTGCTGCTGCACTGCTGCTCCGCGCCCCACTTCTTGGATCGCAAGTGCCCCGCCCCTTGTGCTCTTAGACAATGCAAAGCCCAAAGCACCTACCACCATAGGATTTTTCTCCAATAAAGCTCTCCAATTTAAGCTCCTATGGCCGTTATTCCACATTCTGCCTGTCCCCTAAGTCTTGCATCTTCTCTTGTTTCTTGCTGCATTCCTCCTCTCTCTCTCTCGCCGCTCTGGCTCTCTGCAGGTGGCCGCCACTCTTTCTGGCGAGTCCCTCTCAGCCCTTGCAGTGCTGCCGCTCATCGCCATTCTCCAGGTATGCGCCGCGACACCCATACTCTATCCGCTGATGCCACTTATCCACCACTGCCACCCATAATTCGCTCCTATACTGTATCGCCACACTCAATCCGCCCATATGCCGTTCCTTTGCCTCACCACGGCATCACCTCCTGCGCCTCTTCCAGCCCGTTTTTCTTGCATCTTCACCGTATTGGTAGGCACCGTTTTGGGCTAGGCTTCGTGCCTCATGGCCTTCCACAAGCCCTCTTCACTGCTGCCCTAATGCCCAATGCTTCCTTTGCCTTCCCAACTCCCCTCCCCTCCGCGTGTGTTTCCTCTCCAGGTATTGGTAGGCACGGTGCTCGGCAAGGCCGCGTGTCTCGTGGCCTTCCACAAGCCCTCGTCGCTGCTGCCCTCCGCTGCTCTGCTTCCCTCTCTTGTCACCGGCAACACCTCCAGCAGCAGCAGCAGCAGCAGCGGCAGCAACAGCAGCAGCAAGAACAACCTAAAGCACAGTGACGGCACCAGCAGAGAAACCCACACTGAGCCTGTTTCCACTGCTGCTGAACCAGCATCAACGGCAGCAGCAGTGTCAACAGCACTAGCATCGGCAGAAGCAGCGGCGGCAGCACTGCGAACCAAGGAGTCGGTGGTAACGGCCGTGTGTGCGTTCAGCAACTCCCTCTCGCTGCCTCTGGTCTTCCTCACGGCACTTCTCAGTCAAGTGGACGGCGACAGGGCAGCTGGTTACCTCGCTCTCTTTATGATGGGGTGAGTGGGCATGCATATGTGTGGCTCGGTGCCTATCAGTGCTACGGTGTGTGTCTTGGTTGGTCTTGACATGGTTAGGGGTTTCAGCAACTCCCTCTCGCTGCCTCTGGTGTTCCTCACGGCGCTGCTCAGCCAGGTGGATGGGGATAGAGCAGCCGGCTACCTCGCCCTGTTCATGATGGGGTGAGTGCTTGTGTGTGTGCCACATAGACATCTGGTTGTGCACTGTCAAGTGTCTCTCGCTGCCTCTGGTGTTCCTCACGGCGCTGCTCAGCCAGGTGGATGGGGATAGAGCAGCCGGCTACCTCGCCCTGTTCATGATGGGGTGAGTGCTTGTGTGTGTGCCACATAGACATCTGGTTGTGCACTGTCAAGTGTCTCTCGCTGCCTCTGGTGTTCCTCACGGCGCTGCTCAGCCAGGTGGATGGGGATAGAGCAGCCGGCTACCTCGCCCTGTTCATGATGGGGTGAGTGCTTGTGTGTGTGCCACATAGACATCTGGTTGTGCACTGTCAAGTGTCTCTCGCTGCCTCTGGTGTTCCTCACGGCGCTGCTCAGCCAGGTGGATGGGGATAGAGCAGCCGGCTACCTTGCTCTCTTCATGATGGGGTGAGTGTGAGTGTGTGTGTGTGTGTGTGTGTGAGTGTGTGTGTGTGTGTGTGTGTGTGTGTACGTGCCTCATGGTGTGTGTGTCTATCTGTCTATTGCTCGGTCCTCTCGCTGCCTCTGGTGTTCCTCACGGCGCTGCTCAGCCAGGTGGACGGGGATAGAACAGCCGGCTACCTCGCGCTCTTCATGATGGAGTGATCTCCTGCTCGGGCGGCCGTTTTTGTCTTGTCTCAGCTTGTCTTATCTCAAATGTGTCAGTTTCGACTGGAAAGTTAACCCCTCGCTTTCCGCAAACCCCTCGCTTTCTGCAAACCCCTCCTCTTCCCACAGCTGGCAGCCGGCGCTGTGGACGATTGGCTACAGCACTCTCAAGGACGCAGTCCAGCCTGATACCCAGCCGCTGCTCCCTCCCTCCCCTTACCCCCCTTCCCCTCCCCCCTTCTGCAAACCCCTCCTTCCACAGCTGGCAGCCGGCACTGTGGACGATTGGCTACAGCATTCTCAAGGACGCGGGCAAACCTGCAGGCGGTGCGAGCAGCAGCAGCACCAAGGCAACTGCCACTAGTGGCGCTGGTCATGCTGCGGCTGCTGGTGGTGGTGTTGGGGGCGTGCGAGCGTGGGCGAGCAACGCTGTGGAGTGTGTCTCTGGCGTGGCCAAGAAGGTGTTCAACCCGCCCATGTATGGGGTGAGTTGCTGGTTACCCACCTATTTATGGGGTGAGTTGCTGGTTACCTGCCTATTTATGGGTTGCTGGTTACCCTCCCATGCGTGGGTGAGCAACGCTGTGGAGTGTGTCTCTGGCGTGGCCAAGAAGGTGTTCAACCCGCCCATATATGGCGTGAGTTGATAATTTTGGGTGAGTTAGTGTATCCACCCATTTTTGCTTTCTCGTCTCGCCTCGTCGTTTTTTCTCTTCGTCTATTTGCGCCTGTCGCCTTCATTCCTGTCGCTTTCTCTGTCTTGCCTCATGCTTTCTTTGTTGTCTCCCCATCAGGTGCTCGTGGGGGTTGTTATCGGCACCACCCCGCTCGGCCATTTCTTCCTGCCCGCTGCTGCCGATGCTGCTGCGGCTGCTACAGCCGCCGCTGCTGGCTCAGGCGACCTGCTGTCTTCTCTCTTCGGCCCCGCTACAGCCGGAGTGCTGCACCCGCTGTTTGGGGCTGCAGGTATGCTCGGGGGAGCATGCGTCCCAGTCCAAACCATTGTCCTCTCCTCCTCCCTTGCCGATGCCCTCCCTGCCAACCTCTCCTGGCCAAAGTTCCTCCCCGCGCTCCCCAACCTGCCCACTCCTCCCAACCCCTTCGCAAACCTCCAAAAGTCCCTCTCTGCCAAATTCCCTGCCCCTGTCTTCCCTGCCGGTTCCCCCCCTCTAGCCGACCTCCACCACCTCCTCCAATCCCTCCTCACCCCTTCATCTTCCTCCTCTTCCTCTTCGCACCCCGCCTCCTCCCCGTCCTACTCCTCCTCTTCCTCCTCTGATTCCGCCTCCTCACTGTGGCTCCTAGCCCGTTTAGTCCCCCACCAACCCTTCCTAGGTAACTCCGTCCTAGCTGCTTCCTACTCCACTGCTGCTGCGGCTGCAGCCACAGCATCAGCTGCTTCAGCCTCTGTTATTGCTGGCGGTGCCTCTGCTGCTGTCCTGGCGATTCCAGTGCAAGGGATCGTGGAGAGGGGTGCGGAGGGGCTGGAGAGGGGTGCAGAGGGGTTGGAGAGGGGTGAGGATGGGTTGGAGAGGGGTGAGGATGGGTTGAAGCAGGTGCGGTCGTGCGAAGCCGAGAGCAACACCGAGGCGGTGGGAGGGGTGGCGATGATGGGGGGTGGGGATGCGACAGGTGCGCTAGAGGTGAATGGGCTAGATGCTTTGGAACTAGAAATGGACCTGAGCATGGGACAGGGTGCTGCCATGCAACTGGAACGACCAAACACTGATGCTGCTACAGGAACAGCAGCAACAGCATCAGAAGCAGCAGCTGTTGGGGACGCTGGTGCTGAGGGTTTTCCTGCTGCAGCAGCTGCAGTGGGAGAGGACGTAGCAGCACCTATTCGCTCTGTCGCCCCCACCACCCCTGTCGCCACCCCTGTCACCATGTCTCCTGAACTGGCAGCTGCGCTGGCTCCTGCTACGGCTGCCGCCCTCGCCCCTTCTTCCTCCGCTGTGTTCGCCCATGCAGCAGCAACACCAACCGCGTCACCTCAGTCCATTGCCTCTGCCACATCTCCTGCCGCTGCTGTGCCTGCTTCTTCTGCTCTTCCTGCTGCTGTTCCTGCTGGTGGTGGTGGTGCTGCTGCTGCGGCAGCTGCACCTGCCACCGCACCAGCTTTGGCAGGGCCGCAAGCAGATCTGTTGGACAATCGGGCATTGGTCGTGGTGTCACTCGTGCGCCTCCTAGTCTCTCCCATCGTTGGCATGACCAGCATCATGGTGCGTCGCGTTCCCCGTTGCGATGTTGGCTTGCTCCTCTTGTGGTTGCCTTGATGCCATGGCTTGGCAGCAAGTTGTCTCCGCCCTCCCTCCCCTCCATCTCCCATTTCCCTCCTTCACAATAGCTAATGTCGCCTTTTTTCCCCCCTTTCTCTTTTGCTCCTCCAGGCTCTCTACCACGCTCACCTCATTCCCCAGGACCCTATTTGTGTGCTTTGCCTCATGGTAAGAGTGCTGACTGACTCAATAAGCCCTTCCGGTCCCATGACTGCTCATGCTCATACATCAACATTCTTCTGGTTCTTTCTTGTTCCACTTTCCCTCACCTTCTACTCAATCACTGATTTCTCTGCCCTCTCTGCTCGTCCCTCTTTCAGGTGCCCACCGCAATGCCGTCATCTCAGAGCCTTGTGGTTCTCACTCAGGTTAGTTGCCACTGCACCCTGGTCAGCGTAGTACAATCCTTGACACTCTGCTTCCCACCGTTAAATAGCACATTATTGTTCTCGGCACTTTATTCTAAATTCCTTCCCTCCGTCTGTCATCATACCCTCCCTCCTATTCTTTGACTGCAGTTAAGCTCCAAGACCCGTCCTCTGGCCGGAGTGCTTGCCTCACTCATGCTTCGACAGGTGAGCCCCTTCCTGCTTGCTCATATGGATATTTTGCCCCTTTCCTTTGTTGCAACTCCTCCTCCTGGTCTTTTCTCTTTGGGCTTATCAAGTTTGAATGGAAGGAACAATGCCAGCATCGTATATAATCAGAGTTCATTGTCTGGTTGGAAGATATGAACATGCTGCTTACAATCAAAACAACCTGACCATGTGATGCAAAAGACAGAGTTACGGTGCAGCAAATGCTCACTAGCTTCTAACCAGTGCAGCCAAGTTCCATCCATGCCCTATGTGTCTACGAGTTAAAAATGTAAATTCCAACTGACAACCAACTCGTCCAGAAGGCAAAACATAAATTTTCACAACAAACGGCATTGTACCATGTAGAGGCATCAAGCTATAACACCTTGTCTCATCATATTTAAGTTTGATGCTTCCTTGAATGGTATGAGATCTGACTTTTTCTTCCTGCCAACCGTCAATGATTATGGTCTTCCATTGTCCATTGGCCGGTTCAAACAGGATGCTGATTGCTTGTCCGTAATTTCTCAAAAACACTTGACAGAGGTAGTGGTACTACTTCTCAAAACACAATTTCTTCCTGTCTAATGTTTCTGACTAATGTTTCTGGCTCTCCCTGTCTATTTCCATCATTCCCCACCCCTCCAGTACGCGTTGGCCATGCTACCCATCACCATCTGGGTCACCGTTTTCCTCACAATCCTCAACATCCCCATGTGACGACCATCGCAATGTGGCACTTCACCCGCCACTGTAACTAGCTTTTTCCTCACAACTGTCGCATGGCAGTGTGAGCATGGTCGTTTTGGTTTCCTACAATTGAATGAGGTGAGATAGGCTAGTGAAAACAGTGGAAAGCATCATAGGTGGTAGCAGTTACTAATGGTGAAGGCTCCAGCAGAAGCAGCAGAAGCAGCAGCAGCAGCAGCAGCAACTGGTCAAGCAGAAGTCATTGGATCAGCAGCAATTGCAGCCGCACAGTGATAGTTTCAGAAGTTGTGTTGGTTGGTGAACTGCAGCAGCAGGGAGGAGCAAAGGGAGAAGAGGGGAATTAGAAGTGAATATTCAAGGTGCATGGTTGAAAGCCAAGCATGGTGGAAGAGTTAGCAAGCTGAGTTAGTATTTATAGGCACACTACAATCCCTATGCATTGTGGCAAATGTTCAGAAACATTCAACATCCCAAATTAGTACACTCCACTTGTCTATCAAAGATTTACCTTGCATAGAAGATTGTGTAGGTATGACAGTCTTGTGCTCGGACAAATTAGACAATACAGAGCCACAGCTGTGAGAGCCTTGTTTTAACCTGTGAGCAGCAGGGAGAGAGGCAGTCAGGCACACGGCAGCGTTGTCTCAGTGAAATGCAAAGCAGGAAACAATGGAGAGAAGGCAAATTAGAAGGTAAAAACCTATTAACTCACCCATTGTCAGTGACGGTAGATGGTGTAGCTGAATGCGTTGATAGGTGGGCTCCGATCCGAATGTGACAGTATCTGATCCCCACATACTCAAGAGGGCATAGCATATACACAGGGAGCTACCTTGCCTCAAATACCCCACTGCCACGGCTCGCCGCTGCTGCTGGCTGCTGCTGGTGACTCATGACAGGAGAGCTTGCTGTCTCAATAGCCGGCCGGCTACCTGCTGCAGGTGGCCCTCAAGTGATTCACAGAATACCCAGGATGAGGAGGGAGTTTCAGTTGGTGTTAGGTGGTCGAGCGACAACTTGGCATGCTGCTGCTGCTGCTGACGTGTCTGTCAGCCAGTTAGGGATGAAACGGGAGGTAAGCAGTCTCAGGTGCTCAAGCCTGATACTAGGGCTCCCGTGTTGCAAGAGCAGCACCGCTTGGTTAGTGTGAGTCGAGTGTAATGTAAGCTGAGTCAGGTCAAGACAGCCGTTTCTGTGTTACAGAGGCAGCTCTGGTGTAGAAGCAGCAGCGTCTCTAGGCTGTGTAGCCTTGACAGGTGCGAGGATGGCTTGCTGCTGCTGGGGCTGCTGCGGCTGCTGCTGCTGCTGATGCTGACGTTGAGTCTGGGCTTGAGATGGTTCGAGGGGCGGGACCAGCGAGGAGACGAGGGCCATGAGGTGGAGAGGCAGGGCGGCGGATCCGAGGAACAATGCAGCCTCCATGAAGCAGTGCATGCTCCCTGCCATCTCGCCCGCTTGCCCATGTAGCCATGCTAGCACGGACCCGTTGTTGATCAGCAGAGTGCTCGTGCGCCATGAGGTTATAGGGGCAGCTCTGGGGAAGAAGAAACAGCCTCTCTGGGCTGTGTAGCCTTCACAGGTGAAAGGATGGCTTGCTGCTGCTGGGGCAGTTGCTGCTGATGATGATGTTGATGAGGGGCTTGAGATGGTTCAAAAGGGGGAACCAGAGAGGAGACGAGCGCCATGAGGTGGAGTGGCAGAGCGGCCGAACCAAGGAAGGATGCAGCCTCCATGAAGCAGTGCATGCTCCCTGCCATCTCGCCCGCTTGCCCATGCAGCCATGCTAGTATGGACCCACTGTCGATCAAGAGAGTGCTCGTGTCAACCAATCCGTCGGTGACACGTGGCAGCAGGAAGAGCTGACTGAGAGGCGTGGCGCCGATCAGGAGACCTGCGAGAACCTGAGACAGCAGGGCAGAGGAGATGGAGAGACGCAGGGCAGCAGGGTGCAAGAGAGGAGTCAAGGAGAGGGGATTTAAGAATGATTCGCAGCTAAGATTGAAGAGACCTGCGAGAACCTGACAGACAGCAGGGCAGGAGAGGGAGAGACGCGAGGCGAGGAGAGTCAAGGACACGAGAAGAGAGTCATGAGCGTCTAAAGCAGAGGGAAGGGAAGGTGGTGGGAGGAAAGGAGTGACATGAATGGGAGCGCATGACAAAGGAGACGAACGTGCTAAGAGGAAGAGGTGAATGGGGCCAAGGTGAGGGGAAGGAGAAAAGATGTGTTGGGCACATAGGTGGAGGAGAGAAGGGGAATGAAGGATTGTGGTTGTGAATGAAAGCGTGTGGAGTGAGGAGAGGGACGATAACAACAGGGCAAGCAACCGAACTCACTCCAAGAACAGGAGGGGTGAAGAAGCGATTCGAAAGTGACAGCCCAGATGCACCCGATGCAGGACGGCTCGAGGACAGGTTAGTCTCTCCCGCTTCTGCCTGCTTATTACTCCAGCTTTGAGGCGCGTCGAAACGCGTCTGTTGTTGAATCCAGAGCAGAGCGTTGCATGCCAGAATGAGTAGCGCCGGGCCCCACCTGTTGATTGGCGTGTTGATGAAAGGGAGAGGGAGGGAGGGAGGGAAGGGTTGAAGGGGAGGGGAAGGGTGAGGGAGGAAAAGGGGAGGGTAAGGGGAGGAGAAGAGGAGGGACCGGAAGGGGAAGGGAGCGACGACAGGTGAGTTGACTATAAGAGCCGTATCAGTGAGAGGTGGACAGTGAAGCGAGAGGAGCGCGATGCTGTCTCGAGAAGCAAGACAGGTCACGAGAAAACGCCATGTGACATGCCTCAATAACACGCACCCGCCCAATCAACCCGCCCACTCATTCCCTCAACCCCCCCACTCATTCCCCCAACACCCATTTCCACCACTCCCCCCTACCCCCATCTTCACCCATTTCCCCCCTTTCCCCTCCACTCAATTCCCCCCCCTTCACACACATTCCCCCCCTTCCCCCCCCATTCATCCCCTCTGCACGCACCCGCCCACAGCGAGCAGCGCCAGCTGTCCCGCCAGCCCGTCACCGTCTCCCGCCGTCTCACAGACGGCCGTCATGATGACCAGCAGCAGCAGCGTCATTCCCGCTTCACCAAGCTGACCGCCGAGATTGCCAGCAGCGTCACTACCGCCTAGCGGTGCAGCTGGTTTGGCGGCTGCTTCGGCGGTTAGTTCGGTGGCCGGTTGGGCGAGGGAGGAGAGCGAGGCGGCGAGTTGGTGCAGAGCGGTGGAAGGGCGTGGAGAGAGATGGAGCGGAAGGGGGAGGAGTGCGGAGGCCGGGAAGGAGGGGGAAGCGGAGGAGAATTGGTGGGCGTGGAGGCGACCTAATGAGGCCGCACAGAGAACCTGGATGAGAGAGCGGGTTCGGGCGGGTTCAGGAAGACAATAACAGGACACACAGAGAGAGAACAAGGTGATCGTTGAGTCGAGTGAAAAACGAGGTGACCTAATGAGGCCGCACAGAGAACCTGGATGAGAGAGGGTTCGGGAAGACGATAGCAGGACACAGAGAGTGAGAGGTGACTTTTTAAAGTCAATTCAAGAGTCAGGGGACAGTGGAAGAGTAAAATAAGGGAAATGAAGGGAAGTGAAGAAGGGAAGGGGAGCATACCTGCGCGAGTGCAATGAGTGGGAGCGAGGAGAGCACCAATTCCGGTTCACTCGACACTGCCGATGCCACGTGTACCGCTAGGAAACACGGGATGAGCACGCGATTCGCCACCTGGAACGAGACAGTGGACGACGGGAGGCGGAAGGGGGAAGGCGGAAACGGAGGAAATAGAACGAGGGAGTGCAAGCAGAGGAGGGGGATCCAAGTCAGCAACGTGCGTTTCGACCCAAAAAAAAAAAACAATTTGAAGCATGAACGGAGTGAGAGTGCGAGAGAGGGAAGCACAGCAGGAGTGCAAAGGAGCGAGAGAGAGAGCGAGAGAGCGAGCGCACCTGGGCTAGGACGTGTGATGTGGAAGGTGGCAGGGTGCCGACCCGCTGAAACCAAAAAAGCAGCACTGCAAAAGGAAACACGCGAAACGAGAGGAAACAGCGCAATGACGGCCGTGACAATAGGAAAGGGAGAGTCCCGTAAGCAAGCAGGCAACGAGCTCAGGCAAACAGCCGTCGACGACAAGAAACATTCAGTCATATCAGACGCAGAAGATATGCTTTCTGCGAGAAATGGATACACAAGCGCACAAAACCCTTACCGCATGCGGCGACGAGATTCGAACACATCTTGACCACATCGTGCGACGCCGCGTCGCGGGCAGCCAGTTGCAGAATCGGACCCGATTTGGCCACGTCGGAAACACTCTCGGCATGTGAGACTACTACCGCGTTGTCTACTATCGAGGGTGCTACTGTAGCGGTTAATAAAGACGGCGTTAACTCGCTGAAGCCTTCCAGCGAAGGCGCTGCGAGTGATGCCGAAGCGAGGATCATGCCCTTCTCCCTACCGGAATTAGGGAGGAAAGCGACCGATTCACCTTGAGAAATCGATCCAAACAAATCGATGTCAGCGGCTAGAGCAGGAAGAGCGGAAAACGCGAGAGCTGCGCTAATGGCTGCTGCTGAGGTGAGCGCGAGGGGACGTTGAAGCGCTGCGCTAAGACTGGATGGGGGGATCTGCCCTGCACCTGGAGAGGCGGAATGTTCGGTGTGATACCGTAGTACTGTAGTACTTGTCTTGTTGTCATCTAAGCTATTGCAACTTGTGGATTGACGAGGCGATGAAGCTTGTAATGCGGATAAGCACAACGGGTTGAATTTTAGCGGCAACGCTGCGTTGCGGGGAGCGAAGCGGCCGAGGAGAGGCGGTGATATTGGGTGGAATGGGGAAGCGCGGGGAGAGGAACGTAGTCGGTAAACGGAGACCTCGCGAGAGAGACGATGAGCGGCAGTTGAGAAAGAGAGTGACGCCATGAGGATTTGCTTCTTTTGTAGCGGCAGTGGTTGAGTGGCTTTCGAGTTGGAGGAAAACCAATGGCGATGATCTAGCAAGATATGTCTCACACGACTTCGCACTTTACAGTACACACTATTAGGCCGGCGGTACCAGGAAGAATGTTCGCAGCACTTCGCTGGTAGCTGCGGTCGATTATTAGGCGGTTAGAGGAGCAAAACAAGTACAACTACGCAATCACGTTGTCACCGTGAGGCAACCCTGTCGAGAGCTGAGATGCTAGAGCAGGAGCTCTTGAATGCACTGACAAAAACTGGCACGTAGGGAAATGCTTTGGCGATTGAAGCTCGGTGCACTGAGCTTTTGAAGCCTGAATGGAGCACACGCAGCGTGTGCTGGGAGACTAAAAGAGCAGGAGAATGCGATATAGCCACAGGATTAGGATAACGCAGTTCCTAGACATGCGCGAGCGCACCAGTCAAGGTCTTCAATGGATGATCGGAAAGTAAAGAAGCAGCTGAAGAATGTGAGAGGAGAAGTGTGCAGGAGACAAGTGTGCTGCTGCGGCCGTTTTGCCTTTCATCTGAAGCTTCACCGTACCGAAGCGTACCAAAACGTTCTCTGCCGTGTTCCATCCATCAAAACGTCATTACCAGACCTTGGGAATTGTCCAGTGTCCGTGGTGGTGGAATTGTATCGAGGGAACCCGAAGGCATCACTGCAAATGGATGAGCGAGCACAAGTTCCAAGGTTGCAGTCGCCCACCCTTGTGCGATGCTGTGCGACGCGTAAGATGCGACCAGCAGATGCGGAAGATGCGGAAGATTCCATTTGTGACTCTCGGGCGTATTTTGTTTACTCGGGTTTCCTTAGTAGCACATCATTGCCGAACCATTCGTGTCAAATATGAGCTTCAAATGGTCCGAAGAATGAAACCGTTTCCAATCTAACAAGGTGTCATATGTCGGGGTTTTGCAGTGAGAACAGCATCTCCACGCTGACAATGAAGGCAGCGGTTCCAAATATTCTGGTGGGAGAATATTCCGTCTCAAGCATGTGGGTTGTCGCCCGCCAATGTCGGGCAGTCGACTTGCTGAACACAGGGTCCACGTAGGCAACGACAGAATATGATGTTGCGCTGTCAGGGTGGTTGGCGTATTGCTGCTGACTCGTCGCCAGCGACATTGACCCTGCCTCGAAGATTGGTCAACCGGCCGCCACCACCAATGAACATGTGGACGATGCCAAGCCAGGCACTTTCGCAGGGACAGAATATTCTTGCACACAGGATCAGGATAAATCGACCCCACCACTCGCTAAAGTACCGTTATGCAAACACTGTACTTGCTCAACCAAAAACTAGGTTGTAAAATAACTAATGTACATCATATGATTGGAAAGGTTGAGGGTGCATTCACAGTGGTGAGGGTCCATTGTTTTAAAATCTGAGGATTATCACCCATTTTTAGTTTCTCATCCAGCTTTTTTTTTTTGCTGGATTGATCCATCCAAACTGTTCTAACCTGTATAAATGTGAACAATCGTTTCCCGTCTCGTCACCTTGAAAACCTCATGCCAGATTCTTGATTTCTAAGGCCATGGTTATCTAGGCCTTTAGCTGTATGACATTAAGAAGTTTTTTATATTTGCATTAGAGCTCAGTTCTTTGACAAAAGAGTGGGGGAATGTGGTTCAGCCAGTCCCTCCGCCGTGTAACTTTGCGATTGAATTAAGGATTTGTCTGCTCTTCGCTCCCCTCGGAGTTTTTGAGCGAATGACTGTGTTACCAATGGTTGTCGCCGTCGCCCAGCAACAATACGCCCATCAACTTCCCATCTGCCATGCCATTCACCAGCCCGCCCGTTTCTCATCATTTTTCCGCACCGCACATACATTACATAGTAGGCTCGCTTCGGACTAATCGTTATCATAGCAATTCGACTGTATAATATATCGGAACAATAGCGAGCGCTTTCGCGTCGTGACCATTCCGCCTGAAACGGCGGTTTGCTTCTAGAGGGCCCTGACCCGAGGCTTCAGGGCTTGCCTGATGCAGTAGAATCTACCGCTCATTACCGTCACACGTTGCTCACTCTTTTCTCATCTAATCACAAAATTCCACGTCATCGAAACCTCCCTCCGCCAATGCCGTAGCGTGCACCCTTCGTCGTAATCGGTATCTTAGCGAAACGACTCTAGTGGACCCTGGGCCACTACAGCTGGTTACCGCATCAAGTTCGACCCTGGGCCTTCCGAATGCGACGTTTGCGATTAGTGCGACATGCGACGTGCTACTTACGACCCGACTCCCCTCTAATCCGGCAAATTATTGGATTGATATGATCCGGGTTTTCTGACAACGACACTGATTGCTGCCTGACGCCATGTTTCCGATGCTTCGTGGGTCCTGTACGCTGATACCTACTTCCAGTCCAGCCACTCACGCCACCCCACGTGTCCTCTCCGCAGTAGACGCAACCTCAAGTAAACCCCCTCTTCCTTCTACTGGCTCCGCTCGACCAATCAAAACTGGCCACGTGGGGTCTTTTTTGAACCTGAACTTTTTGGCCGTCAGACCCAGCAGCAACCGTTTAGTTAGACGCCCTGCTGGCACGTGCATCAATCCCCAACGGTCGTTTCTCGGGGACGCGGGAGTGGTTGCCCAAAATGGCCGTTCCTCCAATGGCCTGTCTGTCAACGTCCTATCTACTGGCAGGAGGAGTAGCCGTGCTGTGACGGCTGCAACATTCGAGGCGTCTAATAAACCGTCCGTCAACGTCCTATCGACCGGCAGGAGGAGTAGATGCGTTGTGACAAATGCAGCACCAGCGGCAGCGGCCGTCGTCGCTGCACCAGCGGCAGCACCAGCGGCAGCAGCAGCAGCAGCAGCAGGAGGGGGAGCGGGAGCGGCAGTGGCAGCGGTGGGAGCGTTGCTCGCCGCGTGTGGCGTGAACACGTCTGTGCTGCGAGCGTCCCTGGGAGCTGCATTCAAGCTCTTCGTCATGTGCGGTGAGCCGCCACACTCTCTGCCTCAATTGGCTAGTCGGTCTTGAAAAGCCTTTTAGAGCTGCGAGCATCCCTGTGTGGGAGCTGCATTCAAGCTCTTCGCCATGTGTGGTGAGTCGCCACACGCTCATCCGTTCCCTCCAGGTGTCTCAACTTAGAATTCACTCCACAGCCCTAATGATTACGCTACTCCCTCCCGCCCCCTTCCGTCCCTCTCCATCCTCCCCCCAGCCTTCATCGTGTGGCTAATGAAGGCCAACATCCTTCCTGAAACCACACCCTCGGTGCTCAGCCAGGTGGGATTCAGGTATATCGTCAGGTGAGGTTCAAAAGTGTCGTCAGGTGAGATTCAGGTGAGATTCAGGTGTAAACCCGAAATCCTGAACCCCAGGCAAGTGAAATTTCGTGTTGTCAGGAGCGGTTCGGGTTCTCAGGTGTGTCGTCAGGTTCAGGTGTGTCGTCAGGGTTCAGGTGTTTCGTCAGGAGCGGTTCAGGTTCTCAGGTGTGTCGTCAGGTTCAGGTGTGTCGTCAGGTTCAGGTGTTTCGTCAGGTGCGGTTCAGGTTCTCCGGGCGTATTCCTGACTTTGTGTCAAAAATGAGTTCGTGTCAACCTAGAACTTTGGAACGCATGTGATTGGCCCGTTGTGATTTTTGGGCCAATCGCGTGAGTTCCAAGGTTCTAGGTTGACACCAACCGAACTTGGCACGAAGGTAGGAAGGAATACGCCCTCAGGTGTGTCGTCAGGTGTGGTTCAGGTTCTCAGGTGCGGTTCAGGTTCTCAAGTGCGGTTCAGGTTCTCAGGTGGAGTTTAGGTTTCTCAGGTGGAGTTCAGGCGTCCAGTTGGGTAGGTTCAGGTGTCTAGGCAGGTCGGATCAATTGTTGATCTCTCTGACTCCCCGTTTCCACCAGGAGGCTGTCTATGCGTGGCATGACTTGGTTCAGGAGTCACTGTAGCTTTCTTCTTAGTCGAATCAGAAGCTGTCTAGGCATGGCATTTTGAGGCGCCTCAAAAGTCACGTGGAGGCTGTCTAGCCATGACACGTCTTGGTACAGTAGTTGCTGTAGCTGTCCTGTTTCCTCACGGCTTCCTCATGACCCACAGACCCTTTGCCCCTCCCCCACCCCCTTCTCCATCCCTCCAGGTGGCCGTCCAAGCGCTCATCTCCTGCTTGCTTCCTCATGACCAGCTCTTTCCGTGCAGCCCTCATAATCTTCTGACTCTGAATGTCATGTCGCCCCTCCCCCACCCCCTTCTCCACCCCTCCAGGTGGCCTTCCAAGCGCGCATCCCCTGCTTGCTTCCTCATGACCAGCTCTTTCCGTGCAGCCCTCATAATCTTCTGACTCTGAATGTCATGTCGCCCCTCCCCCACCCCCTTCTCCACCCCTCCAGGTGGCCTTCCAAGCGCGCATCCCCTGCTTGCTTCCTCATGACCAGCTCTTTCCGTGCAGCCCTCATAATCTTCTGACTCTGAATGTCATGTCGCCCCTCCCCCACCCCTTCTCCACCCCTCCAGGTGGCCTTCCAAGCGCGCATCCCCTGCTTGCTTCCTCATGACAAAAAAATCCCCTCTACGCTTGCTGTGCCTCAACGCTTTTTGACTCTGGATGTCATGTTCTCCCCCCACAGCTCTCTCCCCCCACCCCCTTCTCCACTCCACCCCTCCAGGTGGCCTTTCAAGCGCTCATCCCCTGCTTCCTCATGACCAAGGTCGCCTCCACTCTCGCTGTGCAACCACTCATCATCTTTTGACTCTACTTGCCGTTCCTTCACCCCCTCCTTCCCCCCTTCTTCCACCCCCCCAGGTGGCCTTTCAAGCGCTCATCCCCTGCTTCCTCATGACCAAAGTCGCCTCCACTCTCGCCGTACAACCACTCACCTCGCTCGCTGCCCTGCCCTTCCTCGCTGTTATTCAGGTGTGCTGCACCCCTCTCCACTCCTCTCCACACCTTCACTCCACTGTTCTCCCCCTCTCTTTACTCCACTTCTCTTTACTCCACCCCTCTTTACTCCACTTCTCTTCACTCCACCCCTCTTTACTCCACTCCACTCAACTCCTCGTTGCTCCTCTGCTCCACCCCACTCCACTCCACTCGTCTCCATTTCATTCCTCTCCACCCCACTCCACTCCACTCCGCCTCTGTCTGCCCACTCTCCCTTCTTTCCAGGTCCTCTGTGGAGCAGCTCTTGGCAAGCTAGCCTGTCTACTACCGTCCCTCTTCCCCCTCTTCTCTCGCTTCTGTGCTGCTTATGTTCTCCAGTTCTCCTAGTAAACTCCCTCCACCCCATCCCACCCCACCCAACCCCACCCCACCCCACCCCGCCCCACCCCACCCCACTCCACCCCATCCCACCCCACCCATCCTCTCCAGGTCCTCTGTGGGGCAGCTTTAGGCAAGCTAGCCTGCTCCATCGCCTACCGCCGTCCCTCCTCGCTCCCCTCGCTCCCTTATGCACTGACCTCCACTTTTCCTTGAAAGCTCCTTCCACCCCAACTCACCCCACCACACCCCACCCAACCCAACCTCACCACACTCTCCTGTCTTTCCAGGTCCTCTGTGGGGCAGCTTTAGGCAAGCTAGCCTGCACTCTCGTCTATAGCCTGCACCCCATACCATCCCATCCCATCCCACCCACTCTCCCTCCCAGGTCCTCTGTGGGGCAGCTCTAGGCACGCTAGCCTTCCTACCACAGTCCCACTTCCCCCTCTTCTCTCTCTTCTGTACTGTTCTCCACTTCTCCTTGTAAACTCCCTTCACCCCACCGCACCCCACCCCACCCATCCTCTCCAGGTCCTCTGTGGGGCAGCGTTGGGCAAGCTAGCCTGCACAATCGCCTACCGCCGTCCCTCCTCGCTCCCTTGTGCATAGATTTTGACGTCCACTTTTCCTTGCAAACTCCTTCCACCCCACCCCTCCACACCCCACCCCACCACACCCACCCATCCTCTCCAGGTCCTCTGTGGCTTAGCGCTAGGCAAGCTAGCCTGCACCATCGCCTACAGCCGTCCCTCCTCGCTCCCCTCCCCTCCTTCCGCCCGCCACATCGCCTTCTCAGTCGCTCAGGGCCTCGGCCTCTCCCCCTCCGCTGCCACCATCCGACCTGCCTCTCCTCACTCACTTCTGCACTGCATTTCTTCTCCTTGAAAACTCCTAAAACCTCTCCCCCACCACCCACCCCACCCATCCCCACGGTCCCCTCAGATCCTCTGTGGAGCAGCGCTTGGCAAGCTAGCCTGCACCATCGCCTACCGCCGTCCCTCCTCGCTCCCCTCCCCTCCTTCCGCCCGCCACATCGCTTTCTCCGTCGCTCAGGGCCTCGGCCTCTCCCCCTCTGCTGCTGCCCTCCTCTCAGCCTCTCCTCACTCACTTCTGCACTACATCTCCTCTCCTTGAAAAGTCCTTAAACCTCTCCCCCACCACCCACCCCACCCATCCCCCCGTCCCCTCAGGTCCTCTGTGGGGCAGCATTAGGCAAGCTAGCCTGCACCATCGCCTACCGCCGTCCCTCCTCGCTCCCCTCCCCTCCTGCCGCCCGCCACATCGCCTTCTCAGTCGCTCAGGGCCTCGGCCTCTCCCCCTCTGCTGCCGCCCTCCTCTCAGGCCTCCCCCCCCCTCCTCCACCCTCTCCCACACCTCCTCGTGACAAAGTATTCCTCGGCCTCTCCCCCTCTGCTGCCGCCCTCCTCTCAGGCCTCCCCCCCCCTCCTCCACCCTCTCCCACACCTCCTCGTGACAAAGTATTCCTCGGCCTCTCCCCCTCTGCTGCCGCCCTCCTCTCAGGCCTCCCCCCTCCTCCCCCTCCTCCTACTCCTCCCCGTGAGAATGAGTCTCGGTCTTTTGTGCAGTGGGGAAGGGAGAGCGGAGGGAGGGGAGGGAAGGGAGGGAGGGAAGGGGAACAAGAAAGGGAAGGGGAGGGGAAGGAGGGCGGTGGGAAGGCGGCGCCTGGACGGGGGGTTTTGTCTGCACCTGGGATGGTCGGGGCAGCGGAGCGGACGGCAGGGAGGAAGGAAGCAGTGGTGATGTCAGCATGTGCGTTTGGCAACTCGCTCACTCTGCCTCTCGTGTTTCTGGCAACGCTGCTGACTCGCGCTGATGCTGACAGGGCTGCTGGTTACCTGGCACTCTTCATGGTTGGGTGAGTACACTCTTGAAAGTTGGGTAGCACTGCATTGTACCCATCCATGCTGACAGGGCTGCTGGTTACCTGGCGCTCTTCATGGTGGGGTGAGTACACTGGTAATGGTTGGAACAGAGGGGAGGAAGGAGGCGGTGGTGGTGTCAGCATGTGCGTTTGGCAACTCGCTCACTCTGCCTCTCGTGTTTCTGGCAACGCTGCTGACTCGCGCTGATGCTGACAGGGCTGCTGGTTACCTGGCACTCTTCATGGTCGGGTGAGTACACCTTCACACCTTCCTGTGTTGGGTATATTATTGCTCTACCCATTCTAACAGGGCTGGTGGGTACTTGGCGCTAGACATGAGCAACGGGCAAACACCAAACATGTCGGGCACGGACATGTGAAGGGGGCGAACTGAACATGTTCGTAGGTCACAGCATTCACGCTCTGCCCCGCTCTCCTCCCTTCCCATTCTAGCTGGTTTCCCACCTTCTGGACTCTGGGTTACAGCATGTTCACACGCCATTGCCATTGCTTCCCCTCCTTCACCTGTTGCTCCCGCCCCTCTTCCACCCTTGCAGCTGGTCACCCACCTTCTGGACCCTGGGTTACTCCATGTTCACAGGGGGGGATGATAAGCAGGAAGAGAGGGAGGGGGGAAAGTGATGACACACCATTTATTCCCCTCTTCCCTCTCTCTTCGCTTCCCCCCAGTTGGTCTCCCACCTTCTGGACGCTGGGCTACAGCATGTTGACAGGGTAACCCCTCTGCTCCTCGTGTTTCCTCTAATCCCTACTCTCCTGCTTTCTTCCTTCAAACCTGCAGCTGGTCCCCCACCTTCTGGACCCTAGGCTACAGCATGTTCACAGGGGGGGATAACAAGCAGGAAGAGAGGGAGCGGGCGGGTGAAGAGACGAGTGCAGCATCAGCAGCGGCAGCAGCAGCAGCAGCGGCAGCGATGGGAGTGATGGGAGTGATGGGGTTTGAGCGTGGTGTCAGCCGTGTGGTGGAGACGGCCAAGAAAGTGCTCAACCCGCCTATTTATGGGGTGAGTTTCTAAAAATGGAAATGATGGGAGTGACGCGATTTGAGCGTGCTGTCAGCCGTGTGATGGGGGTGGTCAAGAAAGTGCTCAACCCGCCTATTTATGGGGTGAGTTACTTACTATTTGTGGGGTGCGTTTCTAAAAATGGAATTGATGGGAGTGACGGGGTTTGAGCATGCTGTCAGCCGTGTGACGGAGGTGGTCAAGAAAGTGCTCAACCTGCCTATTTGTTGGGTGAGTTTCTAATAATGGGATGAGTTTCTAAAAATGGAATTGATGGCAGTGACGGAGTTTGACCGTGCTGTCAGCTGTGTGATGGTGGTGGTCAAGAAAGTGCTCAACCCGCCTATTTATGGGGTGAGTTGCTATTTATGGGGTGAGTTGCTATTTATGGGGTGGGTTTCTAATATTGGAATTGATGGGAGTGACGGGGTTTGAGAGTGCTGTGAGCCGTTTGATGGCGGTGGTTCAGAAAGTGCTCAATCCACCTATTTATGGGGTGGGTTTCTAATATTGGAATTGATGGGAGTGACGGGGTTTGAGAGTGCTGTGAGCCGTTTGATGGCGGTTTTTCAGAAAGTGCTCAATCCACCTATTTATGGGGTGGGTGCTTGTTTATGGGGTGGGTGTGTATTTATGGGGCTAAGTTCCTTCTTATGGGGTGGGTTCCTATTTATGGGTTGTGTTTCTATTTAGAGGTGTATTCCTATTTATGGGTTGAATTTCGATTCCTTGGTTGCGTTCCGTTTTCACGTATGCTAGAAGAAGCCACCCCACTCGCCCACTACTTCCCCACCTCCCCTGGAAAAATGTCGTGTGCCATTGTAACGAGGTGACTTTTGAGTCGACTCATAAGTCCCACTCGCTCACTACTCCCCCACATCCCCTAATCCCCTGCTCTCCACAATATCCCCCCATCCCCCTATCCTTTCCTCGCCAACCCCCCATCAAGTGCTAGCAGGTCTGCTAATAGGAGCCACACCTCTCTCCCACTTCTTCCCCTAATCCCCCCATCCCCTCTCTCCCCCCTCTCCCATTCATCCCTCCATCCCCCCAACGCCCCTACTCTCCTTGATCACCTCATCAGGTGTTAGCAGGACTGCTAATAGGAGCCACCCCTCTCGCCCACTTCTTCCTCCCCGCCTCCTCCTCCTCTGCTGCTGCTGCCGCCTCCTCCCTCCCAGCCTCCGCCACAGCATGGCTCTTCAGCCCGGCCACTGCTGGCATTCTGCACGGCGTCATGGAGGTGGGTGGGGTAGGCGAGGCAGGGTGAGGCGCGGGATGAGGGGGCTGAGTGTGGCTCTTCAGCCCGGCCACTGCCGGCATTCTGCACGGCCTCATGGAGGTGAGCTTTAAGGCGGTGATTGAAGGGGCTGGGCGAGGCAAGGCATGCGGCATGGAGGTGAACGAACTACAAGGCGTCAAAGGCCTTTGAGCACCCCATGGTTCTCATCTCAATAGGTCATATATTTGTCATGTCATGTATGCGAGGGGTGCTCAAAGGCCAATCAAATCCTCAAAGACAAATCCAATGTCGATGTCCAAAACTGATGATATCATCTCCTCCTGTTTGTCACATCACATGGATGGGGTGTTTTCCGGAACCACTCTTCACCGCACAGCATGCCTCACCATTCAACCACCTTCCTCCCTCCCTCCCACCACCGCCCAGGCAGCAGCCATTCTCGGATCAGCCTGTTTGGCAGTGCAAGCAGTAGTGCTCGCCTCCTCTCTCGCCTCCTCCATCCCCTCCATTCCACTTTTTGGTTCCGTTTCCCCCTACCTCTTACCCACCACCCACCAGGCAGCAGCCTGTGTGGCAGTGCAAGCAGTGGTTCTCGCCTCCTCTGTCTTGCAACCGGCATTCCACCCCTTCGTTCCCTTTCCCCCTACCTCCCACCCGCCACTGCACAGGCAGCAGCCATTCTCGGGTCAGCCTGTGTGGCAGTGCAAGCAGTCGTGCTCGCTTCCTCTCTCGCCTCCTCCATCCCCTCCCGCATCACCTTATCCTGGCCCAAACCCCCCTCCTCCTCCCCTTCCTCCACTCCCTCCCCCTCTCCGTCCTCCTCCTCACCATCTCACCCGTCTCCCACCTCTGCTGCTTCAGCAGCGGCTGTCTCAGCAGCAATTGAACAGCTGCTACCACCAGCAGCCAACACCCAAGTCACTTCGCTCGTGCCCATGCCCACACCAGGTGCGTGATGTGCTTCCCCTTCCTCCTCTCCTTCCTCTTCTCGCACCTCTGCTACAGCAGCTGCTACTGTCTCAGCAGAAATTGAACAGCTGCTACCACCAGCAGCTAACTCGCAAGTGACTGCACTCGTGCCCATGCCTACACCAGGTGCGTGATGTGCTTCCCTTTCCTCTTCTTCCCCACCTCTGCTGCTGCAGCAGCGGCTGTGGCAGCAGCAATTGAACAGCTGCTACCACCGGCAGGCAGCAGCTAACTCGCAAGTCACTGCGCTCGTGCCCATGCCTGTGCAAGGTGCGTTAGGGTGTGCCATCCCTATCCTTTACTGCAGAAATAGTAGAGACACCACCATCATCACCCCTTGTCGAGCTGCTGCCACCACCGGCACCCCCGCCTCTCTCGTTCTCTTCAATCCCAGCCAGCTCCGTGCTCCCTCCGGCCTGGGCATGAGAGAAATAAAGGTGGAGCCACGCACCCCTTGGCCCTCTGCTGCTGTCTGTCACAACACCCCCTGCCCTGCCCTCCCTCTTCCTGCCCTTCCTCCCAGGCAGCACCCCCGCCACTCTCGTGCTCTTTAATCCCAACCAACTGCCGGCCCTCTCAGGGCTGGGCATGAGAGAAATAAGGGTGGAGCCACGCCCCTCTGTCACAACATGCACCCTATACACTCCCGCCCACCCCGCCCCTCCACTTCCTCCCAGGCAGCACCCCCGCCTCTCTCGTGCTCTTCAATCCCAACCAGCTACCAGCCCTCTCAGGTCTGAGCATGAGAGCAATACGAGTGGAGCCACTCCCCTCGGCTGCTGGTGCTGCTGCTGGTGCTGCACCTGGAGCCAGTGCTGCGGCTGCTGGTGGGATAGGAGGAGGTGCGGTTGGGAGTGGTGCTGATGGTGATACAAACGGTAGGGCGCCCTCCTTGCTGGATGATAGGGCGCTCTGGGTGGTGTGTGCTGTGCGCCTGCTGCTGCTACCCTTGCTTGGGACTTTTGGAATCATGGTGAGTCATGCGATCCATCCCACAGGGAGCAGCTGGGAGCCTTTCTCCTTCTTCTCCCTCGTCCGCCCCGGCCGCGGCCCCTCTGCCCTCCTTGCTGGATGATAGGGCGCTCTGGGTGGTGTGTTCTGTGCGCCTGCTGCTGCTGCTGCCCATGCTTGGGACCATTGGAATCATGGTGAGGCTTTATCCCCTTCCTCCATATCTCTCCCTCTTCCAACCCCTCCCTTTCCTCTTCCTCCCTCTCTCTTCCAACCCCTCCCTTTCCGTCCTTTCCTCTTGCCCCCTCCCTCTTCCAACGTATTCCCTTTTGTCCTTTCCTCTTGCTCCCTCCATCTTCCAACCTCTCCCCTTCTGTCCTTTTCTCTTCCCCTTCTCCATTCCAGCCCCCCGCCTTCTGTCATCTCTCACACTTCCAACCCTTTCCCATTACAAACTCCCTCTCCGCGCTCCCGTTGCTTCTCAGGCATTGTACAAAGCCAAATTGATTCCACAAGACCCTGTTTGTGCGCTCACGCTCATGGTCAGTGTTCACCCCTTTTGCCTCCTCTCCTTGTACCACTCTCATCGCCTTGTCATCTTCTAAAGCTTCTCTTTCTAGGCTTTGTCATCCCTATGGAATAATTGAGGTGCCTCAAATCTTCCCTAGACTTGCGAGGCGTGTCAGAAGTAATGCTTTCTGCTTAGGGAAGATTTGAGGCCCCAAATAAGGCATGCCTCAAATCTTCCATGCCTTATATCGGTTACATCGCCGTGGAATTTCCTCCCTTGGACGATTCACGTGTATCCAACTCTGCCGTGCCACCAGCATAGAACACCATTCCTCATGTCCTCCACTCTCCCCTCCTCTTCCCTCCCTCCATCTTCCCTCCTCTCCCCGCAGATCCAAACAGCCATGCCATCGGCTCAGAATCTTGTGCTCATGTCTCAACTAAGTCCCTCCACCAAGCCCCTTGCAGGAATGCTGGCCTCCTTGATGCTCCGACAGGTGGGTGTGAGTGGTTAGGTGGGGAAAGAGGGTTGTAGGGTTGTGTGAGGCTGGGCCATTGTGTATGTGTGCTCATGTCTCAACTCAGCCCAGCCACCAAGCCCCTTGCAGGAATGCTGGCGTCCTTGATGCTGCGACAGGTGGGTGTGAGTGGTTCGGTGGGGAAAGAGGGTTGTAGGGTTGTGTGAGGCTGGGCCATTGTGTATGTGTGCTCATGTCTCAACTCAGCCCAGCCACCAAGCCTCTTGCAGGAATGCTGGCGTCCTTGATGCTGCGACAGGTGGGTGTGAGTGGTTAGGTGGGGAAAGAGGGTTGTAGGGTTGTGTGAGGCTGGGCCATTGTGTATGTGTGCTCATGTCTCAACTCAGCCCAGCCACCAAGCCCCTTGCAGGAATGCTGGCCTCCTTGATGCTGCGACAGGTGAGCATGTGTGTGTGAAAAGTAGAGTTGGGGGTTCCCCTGTTTCTATGTGTGCTCATGTCGCAACTCAGCCCGGCCACCAAGCTTTTATTTGGGATGCTGGCCTCCTTGCTTCTCGGGCAGGTGAGCTGTGGGAGGTGTGGGGGTTGTGGGTGTGTGCCTGTGTGCACATCAGTCGTTTTTTGGCGCCTCAAAAGTGGTTTCTGTGTGGACATGTCACGGATCAAACCAGTAGTCAAGCCAATCCTCAACAACCAAGCCTCACTAGCCAAGCCTCTCCCACTCTTGCATCCCTCCCCCCTATCCCCTGCAGTATGCCATCTCCATGCTCCCCATCACAGTGTGGATCACAGTCTTCCTCTCACGCCTCAACATGACCATCTGAACTGAAGCCATGAGTGAATGAGAGCAAAATCGCTTTGGTGCGTCAGTAATATTTTTTCCTCTCATGCCTCAACAATACCATATGAAGGTGCCAGCATAATATGAAGCTCACAACCACATTAATGGTGCTCATTCAAACTTCACAAAATCTTCAACGCAATTTTCTTGTATCTTCGTATATCTGCAGGGTGTACATTAGCGGAGTATACAGCAATCATATTCACTATTGATCCGCAAACCCGCACCCGTTGGCCGCAGTTTCAAGTGCAAACCCTAGTTTGACCCACTCAGCTCGAAACCATTCGAAGAATTTCAACGCCTTGTCGGGTGTCGTCGTCAAGCCGCTGACTCACCATCGAGCCTCAAACCAAGCCACAAGAACGCAAGTGTCAAGGCTCACCACGCGATTCGCGACTGTTTCCCACCACTAGTTGACTAGTCATCTCGCGTCAGTCAACCCCCGACTCGACTCGAGGATTGAACGCGATGAGAGAAAGCTGCTGCCTATAAATTGCTCTTGAAGCCCATTTTCTAACCATCACACACAACTCTGCCTTCTGTCAATCCAACCTCCAATCTCGTCTCGATACAAACCCGATTTACCTACCAATTCCGAAAATCATGGCAGTCAGGAGATTCCTTCTAGTCTGCATAGCGCTCCTTCTTGCGACTTCCACGGCGGCGCAGCGTGGTCCGCCTGGCGGAGGCCCTCCCGGAGGCCAGCAGTTTGGAGGGGCGCGCGGAGGATCTGGCGGACCTGGCGGGCCTGGCGGGCCGGGCGGACCCGGCGGACCCGGCGGGCCTGATGGCCCGCGCGGTCCTCCGCTAAACTTGACGGTCGTAGGCAATCTGACGGCTGACGTCGGCGCGCGATTGGCCAACTGTTCCGCCGACGCAACCTTTCTCGACGGCCGCTTTCACCTCGCCATCTTCAAGTGAGCTTCGGGGATCTGTACCAACGAAACCCTAAATCTCGTGGGGCTCCAATTTGTCGCCGCGCGTCCTCTCCGTCATTTTACCCACTCCCATGATGCTGTACCGCATGATTTTTTTTCACCCAGTCTGGAACGTGTTGCCGTTTTTTTCACTCACCCCCCCCTTCCGCCCTGCTCCCCCCCCTTACCCTCCGCCAGGAACGCGAGCGGAAATTACAACCTGGCGGTCGACGCGCTTCTCGTGGGCGCCACGGGCGGGCCGCCCGACGCCCTCACGATCGTGCAGGGAGCCGTCTGCGACTCTTCCGCCTCCGCCGCCGCGGTTCTCTCGCTTCCGGTGGCGGCGTCCGACTGGCAGCAGCGTGACGGCTGGTGGCTGCTGCACGCGGAGGCGCGCCTCGACGCGTAGTTTTCTCGAGAACGCGGACGCCGCCACTGTCGACGCGCTCCTCGCGCTCCTCCCCAACGCGACGCTCCCGGCCGCCCGCGGCGGCGGACGCGGCAACGGCGGAGCCGGAAGCGGAAGTGGCGCCGGAGGCGCGCGCAGCGGGCAGGGCAGCAGGCGCATGGGGAGGGAGCTGCTGATGCGCGCAGCGGGGCGCGTCACTGGCGCGAAGCAGGGGGGGCAGCAGCAGGGGCCGCAGCAGCCACCAGCAGGTGGTTCATCAGGTGGTTTTCCAGGCGCTGGCGGCGCGGGGGGGATGATGGGGGGCAGTGGGGTGAACCCGACTGTGAGTGGGTATGCCGTGCTGGCCACTGCCACTGCGGGGGTGTGGCGTGGGGCGGCCAGCTCATGGGCGTCAAACTTCCCTCCGCCGCCGCTGCCTGACGTGCTGCCTAAAGCGTTGGTGTGCTACTGGCTTTGCACTGCCACTGCGGGGGGTGTGGCATGGGGCGGCCAGCTCATGGGCGTCAAAATGCCCTCCGCCGCTGCCTGATGTTCCGTCACAATGATGCGTACCTGATGCGCGCCTGATGCGTTGATGTGGGGGGTGCTGAGGGTGTGGGGGGGGATGATGGGCTGGCGTGGGGCGGCCAGCTCATGGGCGTCAAACTGCCCTCCGCCGCTGCTGCCTGATGTGCCGCCGCCGCCGCCGTCACTGCTGCCGCCACGGCTGCCGCCATGCCTGATGTTGCTGCCGCTGGCATTCCATTGTGCTGATGCGGCAGGGGGGGGAGGGGCTGTGAGGTTAGTGAGGGGTTTCTTGGATCCGCGCAATTCAGGGATTTTCTTAGATTGGTGTTATGGGGTGTGCTGGTATTAGGATCAGCATCATGGGCAGGCGGAATGCTGGCAAGTTACCAGTGTTGTTTCCACCAGCTGACTTGCCAGTCTTCCTGCTCTTGCCTTGCTTATTTTCCCCGCATGGTGTAATCTTGTTTTAGAAATGACTTTTCAGAAGATGAGATGAGTGATCAAGTGTTCAGTAGTCTACATCCTGTGCACATTCATACTAGGCTGAAATATGAGGGCCAGGTTTTTCCCTATGCTTATATTGGAAATTTCATAAATATACTTCACACCAAGCACTTTATATGTATTATGTAGCTATAATATTATTAATATAATTAATAGTATTAATATTTTTTACCTACTAGAATTTCACGTCTGTCATCCCTGCATTCGAGGCCTCCTTTTGTGATGCCTGCTTGTAGGAATGTACCCCGAGACACCAATAAATGCCTCATTCATATCCTTCCATCATAAACGCTGTCATGGCTTCATATGGCCATGTTGAGGCTGTTAAACTGTATTATGTTTGTAGGCTGTAGTGGGGTAGCCAATATGGGGTACAACCCCAACTAGGGTTTGCTACTTGTACCCAATTCTTCCATTCAATGCATCATTCTTGCCTAGTTCTTTTCACATGGTATTCAGAGCAGGAGGTCCCTAGGACCTACCGACCGTTTTTTTTTAAGGGCCCACCACCGCTCGCATGCGGTTACCACGCTACCCCGTGCCCTAGCCTCGTAGCGCCCTCGTGCGCCCTCGTTAGCGCCCTCGTGCGCCCTCGTTAGTGCCCTCGCGCGCCCTCGTTAGCGCCCTCGTGCGCCTCTCGTTAGCGCCCTCGCGCGCCCTCGCTAGCGCCCTCGCGCGCCCTTGTTAGCGCCCTCGTGCGCCTCTCGTTAGCGCCCTCGCGCGCCCCTCGCAGCGTCGCCCGCCCGCCGAGCCGCCCGCTCGCAGCGTCGCCCGCCCGCCCGCTGCCCGCTTCGCAGCGTCGCTCGTCCGCCGTGCTGCTCGCTCGCAGCGTCGCCCGCCCGCCTCGCTGCCCGCTTGCAGCGTCGCCCGCCCGCCCGCTGCCCGCTTCGCAGCCCGCCCGCCCCGCTGCCCGCTTCGCAGCCCGCCCGCCGCACTTCCCGCCTGCAGCGCCGCCTGCCCACCGCGCTGCCCGCTTCGTAGCCCGCCCCCCGCACTGCCCGCTCGCCGAGTCGCCCGCCCGCCGCGCTTCCCGCCGAGCTACCTACCTGCAGCGCTGCGGCAGCTTCCTTTGCTCAGTCGCACTGTCACTATGGCTTCCATCCGCGTGCTGTCGTTCGATGCTGAGGGCCGCCCTGTGAAGTTCGCAACTTGGCTGGACGACCTGCAGCTGTTCCTTCTGAGCGATAGCAAGGAGCATGTGTCGCTCTATGATTACGCGTCTGGTGCTGCACCTGCCCCTCCTGCCACAGCTGAGCTTAGTTCCCACTGGCAGACCCGTGACGCAGCTGCTCGCCTAGCCATTCGCAGTCACCTGCCGCTAGCTGAGCTCGAGCATTTTGGCGACTGCAAATCCGCTAAGGCCCTGTACGATGCTGTCGTTGCTCGCTACTCCTCGCCTGCCACAGCCGAGCTTAGCCGCCTCATGCTGCCGTACCTGTTCCCTGAGCTGTCCACCTTTGCTACAGTCGCCGATCTTATCACCCACCTTCGCACTAGTGATGCTCGCCTGCGTGCTGCCCTTCCCACCGAGTTCTGCGCTAAGAACCCCCCTCCACTGTACTGGACACTCCACTTCATAGTCACCCGACTCCCTGACACCCTCAGCTCAGTTCGAGACCACTTCCTTGCTCGCTGTCCCACTGAGCTCACAGTCGCCCTCCTAGAGGAGCAGCTGCTAGCGGCCGAAAAGAGCATTGTAGCTGTCGGTGCTGCTCGTGGCGCTCCTCGCACCCCCATCTTTGAGGGGTGTTCTCCCTCTCCCCTCGCTCCCTCCTACGCTACTGCTGCTGCTGTTGACTTCCTTGGTGCTGAGTCTGCTGGCGCTGCTTCTACTCCTGGTGGGAGGCGCCGCACCGCCAAAGGCAAGGGGGGCAAGGGTGGCGGGGGTGGCGCTGGGGGGGGAGGAGGTGGGGGAGGTGGGGGGGGAGGCGGTGCTGGAGGGAGCGGTGGCGGGAGTGCTGGTGGGAGTGGGGTCGGCAGCGGAGGCGGGGGCGGCGGAGGGAGCGGTGGCGGTGGTGGCGGCGGCGGCGGTGGCGGCGGCGGCGGCGGTGGCGGCGGCGGCGGTGGCGGTCGGAGCGGAGGTAGTGGTGGTGGCGGAGGTCGGAGTGGAGGCACTGGCTCGGGCCAGAGCTCCCAGCAGCAGCAGCGTCCCCAGACGACCCAGCAGCTTCGTGAGTGGCTTGCTCAGCGTGGGACGTCGGGGGGCAATGGCCGCTGTTCCTATGTCATTCGCACAGGTGACCGCAAGGGACAGACGTGTGGGAGGTTCCACACCCCGTACCGCTGCTTCTCCCGCCTTGACGACGCTTGGCGTGAGGAGATGGGCGAGGATGTTGAGCGCCCCCGCTGGGCTGAGCTCATGAGGGCTGGTGTTGATATCTTTGCTCTTGACTATGATGCTATTATTGCTGCCATGTATGCATTGACTGTTAGTGCCGAGGGAGACTGTTACTTGTGTGTGCCGCCTGACCCAGGTATAGAGCCCGCTGTCCTGGGTACTAGTGAGTCTGCTCTCTCTGGTATGGTGCCCCCTGTACTTGCTCCCTCCAGTGCTGTCCCGACTGTTTGCGAGTCTGCTCTCTCAGGTACAGCACCCACAGAGACTGCTCTCTCAGGTACCGCACCGGCTGAGGCCTGTCACACCTTCACCCTTGACTCAGGTGCTTCCCGCTGTTTCTTTCGTGACAGTACTGAGCTCACACCGCTTCCTGCACCGGTCCCAGTCTCCTTGGCTGACCCCTCTGGGGGCCCAGTCCTTGCCCAGTCCACCACTGTGCTCCCTTGTCCAGCGGTTCCGTCTGGCTCGTTGTCGGGTTTCCACCTCCCCTCGTTCTCGACGAACCTGGTGAGCAACGCTGTCATCCAGGATCAGTGGGTTGACACCTTTACCCCTGGAGGACAGCGTGTGGCGATCTGCACGTGCTCCAGGACCGGCCGTCACCTGGCTACGTTTACCCGTCGGCCGGGGTCGAGTCTCTACACACTGACCACTGCGTCTCCTCAGGTCGCTGCTGTCGGTCAGGTGTCCGCGTCAGGTCTGGTGGCCCACGCCTGTGAGTGTCGTTCCCTGTCGCACCAGACCCTTCTCTGGCACCACCGCCTGGGTCACCCCTCCTTGCCACGCCTCCGTGGCATGCACCGTCGCAGCCTTGTGTCTGGTCTTCCCAGGTCCCTCCCTCCCCTCCCTGCCTCGCCTGCGCCGCCTTGCCTTCCTTGCGTCGAGGGGCGGCAGCGCGCCGCTCCTCACTCCTCCTCGTTCCCCCCGACAGAGGCTCCTCTGCAGACCCTCCACCTGGACGTGTGGGGCCCTGCCCGCGTTCGTGGCCAGGGCGGTGAGCGGTACTTTTTGCTGGTTGTCGACGACTACTCGCGTTACACCACGGTCTTCCCCTTGCGCACGAAGGGTGAGGTCCCTGCTGTTCTGATCCCTTGGATCCGCACAGTTCGTCTCCAGCTCCGCCGCCGTTTCCGGACGGATCTTCCTGTCCTGCGTCTGCACTCTGACAGAGGTGGTGAGTTTTCCTCCGATCTCTTGAGGACCTTCTGTCAGGCGGAGGGCATCGAGCAGACCTTCACGCTTCCGGACTCCCCACAGCAGAATGGGGTTGCTGAGCGCCGCATTGGCCTGGTCATGGAGGTCGCTCGTACCTCCTTGGTCCACGCAGCGGCTCCCCATTTTCTGTGGCCGTTTGCTGTCCGGTACGCCGCGCATCAGCTCAACCTCTGGCCCCGTGTCTCCTTGCCGGAGACCTCGCCCACACTGCGTTGGACGGGGGAGGTTGGCGATGCGTCGCGCTTCCGGGTGTGGGGTGCTCGTGCCCTTGTCCGCGATACGTCCGCGGACAAGCTCTCCTCCCGCACACTTCCCTGTGTCTTCCTTGGCTTTGTTCCTGACGCGCCGGGCTGGCAGTTTTACCACCCCACCTCGCGCCGGGTCTTCGCCTCTCAGGACGTCACCTTTGACGAGTCGGTCCCTTTTTACCGTCTCT